ACCCGTTTTATTTTGAATTTTAGAGCCGCCAGTAAAAATATATTGAAATGCAGGCCACTTATCTTTAATTATTTTGTTCCATACTTCCTGGAAGATTTGAATCCATATAATATGTTTCTATTATGTTAGAGAAGAGAGTCTTAGGAGGTTGTGTATAAATTGGTGGTATTTTATTTTGATACAATTGTTCTTCAAATATTGTCAATTTCCTATAACTTTCAACGTACATGAGAATTTTTTTGTTACGCCATTATTTATGGCTTAAGTCTAATAAGTATATTCAAGTTACGAATATTTTTTAAATAGCTGAAGTTTTTTTATATGGGGTGGCTCTTTAGCTTCAATTTCAATAATACGAATAGGAGTAGATTTTAAGTAACCAAGATATAGCCTCAAACATTTATTCTTTTGGGTTTCAATTTTAGAAGATGTCCTGTTGAAGCAGACCCATATAAATGACAACTATAGTCGAAAATTGGTCGAATGTTTCGACAAGTCATCCAATGTTTTCGGCTTTCTGTTTTCTTTTGTAGAGTTTCTTTCGGTGTTTTTATAACAAAATCTTTGATTATGCTCTACATAATGTTCACATTCTCAGTGTTCACATTCTCAGTGTTCACATTCCTCACTACTATAAAATACATTTTTTATTAAAATTTCCTTAATTTTATTTTTAAACTGAGTTTTGGAAAGATCTTTGGGAGAACTGCAAGAACTCTTATAGCCTTACGTTTCAAACCAAAGACTCTTGGCATTTCCGCTGAATGCCAAAGAACAAGATTGTATATGTTAGATAAAAGTAAAAAATGACATATAAGTTATTTGATAGATTTTTGCTCAGATAGTCAATATGTTGACCCCATTGAAGCTTGGGGTCTAGGTGTACTCCAAGGAACTTCATACTTGTAACATTTACGTTTTCAGGTAATGATCCACCCAGGGATGTAGAGCCAAACATGACGATGAAAATAAAAATTGACGGGTCCGAGCGTTTTTCATCTTTGTCTTAAATAACGGAGTTAACTAGGGGGGGGGGTAAGACTTGATATCCACACTGTATTTATTACAGTGTATTAAACATTTGAGTAAACATACTTTTCTTGTTATGTTTTTTTATACCAATTTATGTGATATATGAATCAAAAAATAATCAGAATAAAATCATTAAAAAATTAGATATTAGAAAACATTCATTATATTCAAACAAGTTTAAACATTCAGTGTACCTATACAGTATTTCCTTAACTAAGTTGTCCTTCATATCTGTTTCTAGGAAATGGGGGCTCGGTGGAGCTGGATCATCCTATGTACCGAAGACCGGACTATCGCTAGTGTAACACAAGCCAGGATAGGTTCAGCTCAGCTTCAGAACGGGGAATTCTATTACAGAAATATTCACAAATATTATTTCCCCGAAACGTGTTTTTAAGACTTCTTTGTTAAACCATCAAAGTATTTATTAACCACTTAAGATTACAAGTCTTGGAGCATGCGATAAACAAATATTACTTTTTATTAGGTGATTTTGTAGGAAATATCAGAAAAAGCTTAATTAATTAAGGTTGATTAATTAAAGTAGTAGAAAATGAATGGAATAAATAGGATTGTGAATAATAAAAAAATCGATTGGCATAACTCATAAATTATTATCAATTGGTAGAGGAACACACTTACCCTAAATGTAATGTGTAATGTATTAAATGTAATAGTTGGCTGGTAGAAATTAAGCCTCAGTGAAAAGGAATGGACGACGGCATTATCATGGAGATGCAAAGTCTCGTTTAGATCTGCCTGGTTCTCTGCTGGACTCACCCTCTTACCTAGGTGGTCCGGGGATATTTCTAACAAGGCCACCGTAATAAATTAAACCCGCCAATAAGCGTGTGGTACAATATTACGTATGCATGCTCATACTTAAAAAATGCAATAATTTAAAAAAGAGTTTTGAAGTAAATTCGAGCTTTTAAAAGCTCGTGTTTCCAGCATTCTAGGGTAATTAACGACAAGTGGTTCTCTGAATTTGACAAACATATGAATATGCCAATTTTAACGAAGGAATTGTAGAGTAGATAATTAAGATAAATGATGATAATAAGTAATTAAAATAGGGTCATATTGTGTTTAAAATATTAAGAATATTAAAAATAAAATATTTAAGTAAGCACTAAATGCTTTTCCAAGTGAGTTTTGAGTAATTTTTGGTAATTTGGGTAATGAGTAAAAAAGTGAAATAAACATCTTTAGGAGTATAGGGCATCAAGGAGATTCCTTCCGTCTCTATTCCCAGCCAGTATATTCAGTTCCTCCCACCTCTTCCTAAGGTTTCGTGCATTCGTGCAATAAAACAGGTGTAAATACACACAAACACCTCAGATGTCAAATATAAAGTTGATCTTATCTGTGTTGATGTCAAGTCCCATTTTAATGCATTTACTATTTATTGCATCTAGTAAAGTTTGTAGTTCTTCTATACTCTCAGCCATAATTACCGTATCATCTGCAAATCTCATACTGTTTACGATTTCTTCACCAATTCTTCTCCAGTTTCTATATCGTTCACCTTTACTACTGCTTTCTGGTTCCAGTATATAGCCTCATTAAACTCAATGTCTGTTTTGTCTAAATTGATGCTATTTAATTCATCTTTTAACTTCATATGCTGCACTCACTCAAAGGCCTTCCTAAAGTCTATGAAGCATACATATGAACTCTTATTATATTCCCAACATTTCTGCAAGAGTACCGTCAACGCAAATATTGACTCTCTTGTACCCATGTCTCCTCTGAAGCCAAACTGCGTTTGATTTATCTGCTCCTTACATTTCTTATAAATTCGGTTTTGAACAATTTTTAAGAGAATCTTCAAAGGGTGGCACATTAGGCTTCAATCTATAGATTAGATGATTTGGGATTGTTGTTTTTTGGTAGAGGTAAATATATCGATTTAAGCCATTCCTCCGGGATGTTGTCCTCTACATATATGTGGTTAAGAATTCGGGTGTGTCTCTTTATATTACCGTCATAAGGCTTTTAACAGTTTACCCTGCAGTGCCCTGTATTCTGTAGGGCATGCTTTACTTCTGAGGGTAAAATTTGTAGGTATTGTTCTTCTTCACTTATATCTTGTTCATTTTCCCTCTCGTCATGGAACAGATGGATCATATATTGTTCCCATACTTCCTTCATTTTGCTCTCTTCAGTAAGTATTCCAACATTATTATCTCTTGTTATGAGTGTTCTTCTTTTTCATTTTTTTATGTAAGTTTGAGGTGTCATGTTTTTTGCTGAGTTGTTCCAGTTTCTGGCATTCCTTGGCATTCCTTGTTTAAACATTCCTTCGTAGCCTTTCTGATTTCGTATTTGATTTTATTCTTGACGGTTTTATATCTATTTCCATCTTTATTTTTGTTTTTTCTTTTTTCAGTTATTAGCTCAACTATTTCCGGTGTTATCCAGTCTTTTTTAGTGGTTTTCTCTTCTTCGCCTAGGACCTCTTCTCCCGCTTTTAGTATGGCTTTTTTCATATCTGCCCATTCCACGCTCCTTTCAGTTAATTTATTTATCTTTGCGTTTAGTTGCTGTTAGCAGTTGTCGTCTTTTAGTATTTTAATGTTTATTTTGGTGGTTTTAACTTTTTTCTCTGGTTTTCTGAATTTAATGTTGACGTTTGCTAGTAAAAAATTATGGTCGGTATCTGCATCTGCGCTTGGATAGGTTTTTGCACTTTTTACTCCATTACGAAACCTTTTGTTAATCGTTATAAAATCTATTTGGTTTCTGATTATATTGTTGGTGTTATCTTTTGGAGAAGTCTACGTGTATAATCTTCGTGAAGGTAGGTCATAGTATGTATTTGTTATGACTACTTCTTTCTCCTGGCAGTACTGGACTAGTCTATCACCTCTTTCGTTTCTTTTACCTAACCCAAAATTGCCTACGATATTTCCAGTTTTTCCTAGACCGACTTTAGTATTAAAGTCGCCCATAATTATTTTTACCTCCAGCTTCTTTATGTTTTTTGGTAACATCTCTAACTCCGCGTAAAATTTTTCGACCTTAGCATCATTGCTATCAGATGTTGGAACATACGTTCGTTAAAGGGAGTGAAATTTGTCACAAACTTGGAGTGAAATGTATCAATAATAATTTAAAAAATACCAACACCATGGCTGTGTTCTCCAATGCTTTTGCCTGAGTAGAAAATAGTATTATTGTCCTTGGTGTAGTTTCCAGAATTTGGCCATCGAACTTCTGAAAGGCCCAATACTTGTATGTCTAATCTCTCCATTTCTAGCATGACTGTTGTTAATTTTCCTGCTTCATAAAGTGTTCTTATATTCCATCTTCACCTTCCTCCTTAATAAAGTGTTCTTATATATATATATATATATATATCATTTGAAATCCTTTGTGTTTAAATAGATACAAATTATATTTCCGCTTATAAAAACTACGACGACGATACAAATTTAGCCCATACGTAGGGAATTCGCAAAAAGATGTAAATCCAAGTTATATTTAAGCTTGACCTCAACTGGTAGAATTCCAAATTATACTTTTGTTGCCAATTTACAGCGCAACCAGCAATAAAAATAGAAATTACTTCCTTTAAGTATATATTAAAATATGTATATATTTTTAAACCATTAAAATAGTACAATAATGTCTATACCTATGTAAAACGAGCAATTCCCTCATACAATGTTTTTTATATTGTGGATAAGCAACTTGTTAGTGAGCTTTGGCTACAGAGGTATGGACAAACTGTAAACATAATAAGATGGGATTGATATACTAATATATAGCTAAAACCGGAAAATGCGTTATGAAAAAAGTAATATTTCATATAATTGTAGGACACCTGCAGCAATCTCTCTCGCGCAGAAGACCGAAAGAGTATCATTGCAGATTAAGAAATGTAGCAGGGATAATAAATCCAACATCCAAAAGATAAGTACAATATCTTTAGAAAATATGTTAGACAATTAGCAACAGAAATAAAACTCAATTAAAACTTATATTTTTCATAAGAAATAATAATAGTAGCCTTATGTACAAAAAATAATGTATACGGAAAAAATAAAAACAAAAGAATCACCTAAGTGTGAACGACTTAAATTCTTCTTCGTATTCATTGAAGGAGCCTTCACGGAGCTTCATTTCTCCGTATTCGTCGAAGAACTTGGTATCCCCTTGACCTTGTACAGGAGGAATAAAGAGAGGTTTGTATTTTCTTGCAAATATCTGATCGAAGTCAACAGTTTTGAACCATTCGTGGCCTTTAATGTCTCTCGAACCGCCCTTCATCACGCCAAACCTGCAAGCAATAATAATTTAGAGGCATTATTTTATTCGACATAATAGTTTCATGTTTGAAGTGTTAACAATTTAAGAAAAAAAATAAAATAGAATAAAAACAAATTTGAAATAATTTAAAGTAAGTAAAAAAATGTGGAGCAATAAATTATCATTAAATATGCAAAACATATCCAGTACTAATATGACGCTATTTAAAGTAAAACTTCTTCTTAAACTTCTATAATCTTACATTCGTTCTTTTTCACGACTATGTAGGTAGTTTCACCCTTTTACACATATAAATTTACAGAAAAGCAATAGTATTTTTAATCAATATAACGAACGCAATCCTTAGATACAGGCTTTTCCCAAATCGATGGAAGGAAGACCACTTTATTACGATTCCGAAGCCAGAAAAGAATATCATGTTTTCGCAAAACTACAGGACGATAAACTTACTGCCAGCAGTCAGCAAGATCGTAGAAAGAGTATTACCAAGAAGACTACAAGCTGAAACATACGAAATAGGACTAATCCCAGAAGCTCATTTCGGATTTAGAGCAGAACACTCTAGTGAATTACAAGTACTTAGACTGACATATACATAACAGCTGGATTTATCTAAAACAGTACACATGAGCAGCGTTCCTGGATATAAGCAAAGCCTTGGACAGAGTCTGGCATGAACGATACAGTGAGGCCATGACTAGACTGACCTCTTCGTATTTGAGCAACCGAAGCTTCAGAGTACGAATAGGACAAGTACTATCCGAGCACGGAGGTACGCCACTACGGACGGGAAATTTAATTTCACGAATAATAAATTATGGAAGAATTCTACAGTTCTTAGCATATTCTTGTAGTGACTGGTCCGATATCGCTATAGATGATTTTTTTTAATAAAAAAGGAACATCTTACCTTTTACTCCGGTCAACTTGTAAAATATTGATGACCAAATCTTTGACTGCCCTAGAAAAGTGGGGCGGACAGGTGAACTTTCCAGTAACGATTCTCTCATAGAGTTTCATGTGATCCTTGGCATAAAACGGAGGAAATCCTGCACACATTTCGTATATTAACACACCCAGAGACCACCAGTCCACGGAAAAATTGTATCCTTGACTGAGAATGATTTCAGGTGCTAAATATTCGGGAGTACCTAAACAAAACTCGGTATATTAGTTTAAAAAGTTCCTTTGTAAAAATAGTTCAACAAGTGTGTTGAAAGATGAGAAAATCTAAAACATAAAAGACCTTGCAATTAACAACTGGATCAATGATCTTATAAATAAATAGTCATAATGTCACTTAAAAACTATTAAATATAAAATAAGTAGTAACATGTCTCGGAGAAGAATGTGAGGAGGAAGGAATACTACTACTTAAAAATAAACAAGTCTGGGAATATATATATGTTATCGTATATATTATACTGTTTCGATCATACGATCATCATGGCAATCTTTATCTTATCTGCAGCAGCGCGGAAAAGCTGCACAGATGTTCTATTGAACCAGATTCTGATGTTTTTTAACCAAGATGTTCTTCTTCTTCCTGGACCTCGCTTTCCAAATATTTTTCCTTGCAGGATGGCTTGAAGGAGAGCATATCTGGATTAATTTCGCATAATATGTCCGAAGAATTGTAACTTTCGAGAAACTTTCATGGCTGCGTAATATTAGACAATGGTGTGGTTCCACAGTAGAAGAATTATTTCGCGCAGCAGCTGACAGAGAAAGGTTTCAGGAAATTGTAAACATGATGACGGCCAACGTCTGAATACGGACACGGCACCCAAAGAAGAAGAAGTATCTCTTGGTTCTTATTCATTCTTCTAAGGACCTCCTCATTTGTGACTCGGTCAGTCCACGGTATCTTAAGTATTCTCCGATATAGCCACATCTCAAATGCTTCCAGTTTTCTGCACATATCTTCGTATAAGGTTCACGATTCAACACCTTCAAAATTGATAAAGAAGACGTAGACGTAGAAGACCAGAGAATCCCCATAAAATCAACAAATGCAAGAATACAGGGAAAAAGACCTGTTGGAAGACCTAAAAAGAGATGGGAAGACGAAGTCGATGAGGATGCCAGGAACTGCCTGAGAACGCGTTAATTGAAAAGAACAGCGGTAAATCGAAATTATTGGAGAAGCTTGTTGAAGGAGGCCAAGGCCCGATTTGGGCAGTAGTGCCATTGGATAGATGGAAGACGTAGCATCGCAGCATTCTTACTTTTGTATCAAAAGAGAGGTTGTGACTCTTGGAGGAAGCCCCCATTCGATTGAAGGTGGATCTAGCTTTTCCGATGCGTGCTCTAATCTTATTTGTTTCCATAGATGCTGTTTAAGTATATAGGGTATAAAAATAAGTCGAAATAGGGCATATTCTTGGGCATAAGTATTTTTAACGTATATATCTGGTAGGCTGATAAGTAACCTCCTTTGCGATTAGGACGTTGCGATCTCAAAAAAACATTAGTTTTTAAAAGTCTTGCATAAAGTTATAATGTTTGGAAAAATGACGCATGAAGAAAAACAACATTTTCAATCTCTCCTAACCGATACTTGTTTAGACTACACTGTCAAATTTTGGTTTTGTAAGTTTTAGGTTGATAAAAGCATAGTAGAATATCAGTGTGGGTTCACAAAAGGCAGAAGTACTGTGGATCAGACAATCACACTTCGAGAAATACAGACTGAAACTTACGAATACAATAAAAACACGATGGTTCTGTTCATTAATTTTAAACAGACGTTAGATCGGATCTAAAGAAGGGAACTATTCACAGCACTGCAAGATATAGATGTTTGTCCAAAGCTTATTAAAATGATAAAATTAACTAAATCCACAAGGAAAAAATTCCTGTAGCTGGCTGTATACCACGTATAACAAAAAGAGGTTAATCTTTGTAAATGGGTATATTTATTTAAAAAACCCTTAAAAGGGCCACATCAATAAAACAAACGTTTTCGGACTACACAGTCCATCATCAGGTTATTAAAATCGAAAATGCCTAAAAATAAGTATAAACCATTTAGTTAAAACAAACGAAAAGGTTTTTTCTCCTTCAACCCCCCCTCCTTTCATTTCTTTTACTTTCATGCTCATTAGTCTCTGAGGAACCCAGTCTCTTCGATTTTAAATTCAATCACATATGTTACTACTTCAATTTCTTCAGCCTGTAGATTTCCATCTTACTAAACTTAATTTTAATAATTTTTTCACCATAGGAGCATTTCTAAATAAAGTCATTTAAACATGAGGTCTGATATTAGCTTCAAATATTTGTTATTTTATTTTTTACCTTGTCCTAGATGTGTTAAACATAAAAGGATAAATTTCATAAATACAAGCTAACCCAAAATTAAATACACTTTAGACCACATTCCATACGACGAAAAGCAATATAAGTTGCCTAAGGCACAGGTCATTATATTAATCATGACTATAAAACCATCATTGATTTGACATCTTTTATACCCTAAATTAATAAATAAAAAGTTTTTAAATCCCAACACCTAGATTGTTGTTATTTTTAAAATCATCAAAACTTGTTGAATCTTTTGGCTGTAGTAATACTATGTACAACTTTTATAGTTTTTGTTGCATTGACATTCTGTTATCTTCATCCTTCAAAAGTATCTTGTCAATCAGTTCCACGTTGTTCTCCGAGTGCAGAGGTTCTCTCTCACCCGGCTCTGGAACCCAATTGAGCCATGTGTTACCTTTAGTCAATTTAATATAGAACATCACAGTTATTTTATAACACAATGTACAACATTTCATAACTAAATGTAATTTAAAGGGTTTTTACCTTAATATTTTGGTGGCTCAGGCATTATGACCTAGTAAGTATAACCATCTTTTGCTTTTCAACCATAGTCAAAATTTCAAAATCTCGTTTGTTTTAACTAAATGGTTTATACTTATTTTTAGGCATTTTCGATTTTAATAACCTGATGATGGACTGTGTAGTCCGAAAACGTTTGTTTTATTGATGTGGCCCTTTTAAGGGTTTTTTAAATAAATATACCCATTTACAAAGATTAACTTTTTTTTTTTTTTTTTTTTTTTTTTATAAAATTAACTCTCCAAAGAACAGTGAGTAAAGTCAAGATAAACAATAGTATAACAGAAAGCTTTGAGGTCAAAGAAAGAGTGTGGCAGAGTGATCCATTATCATCTATAATATTTAGCATAATATTAGAAAAGGTTATACAGGAAGCAAACATTGACAGAGCAGGTCTGATCCACTACAAAAAGCATCAGTGTTTAGCATTTGCGACCGATTTAAAAATTTTGGCTAAAAGCAAAATAGAGCTGATGAAAACAGTCATGGAACTCAAAGAGAGGGCAGCAACCAAAGGATTGTATGTAAATGAATTAAAAACGAAGTATATGGAATGGGAAAGTAAGAAATTTGTTGGGAAGTAGTACATAACAATGACAACGGCAAAGAAAACCCAATATAAATTCGAAGAAGTTGAAAGATTGAAAGATAACACTTATATGGACAATGAATAAGAAAAACAAATATCGAGGTAATGGAACTCTATCAAGAACTCAACATATTAGCGGTAATTAAGGCACAAAGACTTAAATAGCTGGACCATGTGCAGAGAATAATTACATCTAGAATTACCAGAATGGTATTATCTAGTGCATTGGCAGGCAAAGAGAAAGGCCGAGGTCAAGATGAAGCAACGAAAAACGTAACGAACTGGGAAAAAAGCAACTGACAAAAGGGAATGGAACAGAATAGTACACCAAGTCGTGGACCTACTAGAATCGCAGTTCTTATATGATATTATTATAAATTTCTTAGTGAGCGTATGTCTAAATTGAATGAACTACATACTGGATGCCGCTCCAATGTGGTCACCCTTTAAAATGTAAAGAAAGTCCATGAAATGATGTTGGCTGATCGTAAAATGAAAGTGGGCTAACTGGCAAAGACAACAGGAATTTGCAAAAAGTGCACTAGTATTTTAAACGAAGTTTTGAATATAAAAAAATGATCCTGCTGATGGGTGCCGCGTTTTCTGACCAAAAATATGGTCGTGTAACATTTCTCAGCAGTGTTTGGTGCTCATGAAGCATAATCCGTCGCACTTTTGGCCTTAATTGGTAACCTCTAATGAAATTTGGATCTCGTATTGATACATTAAAGAACAGATTAAACGCACGGCAGTGGATTGAAGCCAGCAAAAGTACTCCGAAGCGGCCAAAGGTGATTCAAAAGGTCGGAATGGTTATGGCCATTGTATATTGGGATTACAAAATTATAATTATTAATTGACTATCTCGAAAGATATAAAGATCAAGAGTTAATATTATTGTCCATTATTGAACAAATTGAAGCAGAAACTCATTGAGAAATGGCACCATTGGCAGAGAAAGAAAATGTTGTTTTTCCAAAACAATTCACTTGCTCACAAGAACATTATAAAAATGGTAACAATTCATAATTTGAGCTTCCGATAGCTTTCTCGGCTGGTTTATTATGTTGATTTGACCCCTCATATTGTCTTGTGTTCCCAAATCTGAAGATATGATATCATAAAGAAGATAAGAAATGGTTGAAATCGTTGTATTAAGCTAAAAAGCCACTATATCAAATAAAATAAAAGTAATCAAAAATAAAAGGAAATAAATTTTCAGTTTTTCATTTTAAAGGAGGTTACTTATCAGACTACCTAGTAACTGATTTACCACACAACGTATATGTCCTCTGACTGTCGATCTTCTTGCAAAACCCTAAATCAGTGATCTTCAAATACCCTGTCGAGTCTATCAAAATATTTTCTGGCTTGAGGTCTCTGTAGACAACGCCCATATGATGCATGTATTCAAAGGCTAACGTAACCTGAGCTGCGTAGAATTTCGAGAGAGTTTCGTCGAATTTCTTGGTAGATCTTAGGTGGTAGAACATTTCCCCGCCGTTAATGAAAGGCATGACGATAAAGATGTAGACGTTATTCTTAAAAAAGTACTGTAAATCTAAAATAAAAGTAATAATAGATAAGTAACTGGGATTTTATAATTTCTTTAGTCTGAATCCGAACAAAAATGTTTGATTATTTATAAAGTCAAGTCAATTCGTGAGATTTTTAATTTGAAAATTAAGAGTTTTATGATTCTGGCGCCTAATTTTTTTATAAGTCTAGTCAAATAGTCTCATCGTCAGAGACTTGACCCTCTAAAAATCATAGAAACGTTGCGTAATTTTATCCGACAGTACAAATTGGTACAAAGGTTTTGAAAACCCCTTAATCTTAATAATTATGTTATAAAGGACTAGCGAATTGCGAATTTAACCTACTTACTTATTATAAAAGGAAATTTGAAAGCGTCTAAAAACTTAACCTCGGAAATTGTATGTATAACTTGCTTAGTCCTCACAATATTAACTTTTTCCATAATTTTCATCGCATACAGGTCTTCTTCATCTTTGTATTGGCACAACACCACTTTCCCAAACGAACCGGTACCCAGAATCTTCATCGGTTTGAAATCTTCGAACGACGTGGATTGATCAATCTTTTCTTGAATTTTGGACTCAAAATCCTTTTTGCATCTTCTGAGGTAAGATTCATACGTTAGATAGTGTTTCTGAAGTCGGTCATCTCCAGATTTCATAGTATTTTCTAATGTCTTAAATGTCAGGTTGATTCTAATGACATTATGTCATTCTTTAGGTATTGCTCAAAGCAGCAATATTTTGAACAATTTTTGTTTATATTTATCCAAGAATTGAACACATGTGTCCTTTTCTATGTATGAGCGAGAAGTTGCCTAGTAACAAATCTCTAATATTTACAGTAGTTGATAGTTTTTAATTTAACATATCAGTTGGCCAGAGTTGCTGCAAAATTCAAGATTCAAGATTTATTTAACTACGCTTACAAATTTTATATTTGTTTGTAGTAAGTCAATTAGATGTACAAGTGAAAAAGATAATATATAACATACACAAAATACAATAGAAGACTAGGAGATTAAAATACATTAATGTTCTTTTTGTCAACCATTTCCCATCCACTCCTGAATGTAGGTCTCTCCCAATTGCTTCCATCGTTTTCTATCTTGCGCTAATCTAATCCACTGTTTACCTGCCACTGCTCTTATGTCATCTACCCATCTTTTTTGAGGTCTTCCCATGCTTCTTGTTGTCGTCCTTGGTCTCCATTTTGGAATTCTCCGTGTCCACGTGTTGTCATTATATCGGGCTACGTGACCTGCTTAGCGCCATTTCATTTTTGTAATTTTATCCACAATATCCCTAATCTCCGTTCTATATTTATCTCGGTATTTCTAATCTTGTCTCTCAGTGATATTCCAAGCATGATTCGTTCGATTGCTCTTTGCGTTGTTTCTAATTTTTTAGCAGATTTTTTGGTAAAGGCTACTTTCTCCAATCCGTAGGTACAAACTGGTAGTATGCATGTATTATATACCTTTTTCTTTAAGTTTACAGGAGGAGGTGTTTTTCAAAATATATGCCAGTTGTGTTTCGTTTGCCGAAAGGGCCCCATGCCAGTTGTGTTCTTCTTTTAATTTCAGCATCTTGATTTGGTTTTCCTAGTTTGATGACATGACAACATATACATAATGTTCAACATTGTCTATGGTATGATTTTGTATTGTTATATTTGTCTAGTCTCGGCTCTCTACCGCTCCTGAAACTGCATTTAATTGTTGTAACATATCATTTTTAGTTCTTGGATATTATCGGCTATTAAAACTATGTCATCTGCGAATCTCAAGTGGTTTAAGTATGATCCGTCGACGTTGATACCCTTGTTGTTCCATTCTAGTTTCTTAAAAATGTCTTCTAGAGCAAGAGTTAATAGTTTGGAAGAGATGGTGTCTCCTTGTCTTACCCCCCGTTGTAGTCTTATGGGATTAGTTTTTGTACTTCCGTCCAGTTTTATCTGCATGGTGGCATTTTCATTAATGCACATAATTTAAAATAAAACATCAAATATACAGAATAAGATATATCAACATTGAAGACATATCAACATGAAAAGAGAAAATTACGTTATTTTCAAGGTATCAACACTTGTAACAAGTTTTAATTGTCTGAGTAAAAATTAGGTACTAGAAAGTTTACCTTTGAGATGGTCAATATGGTTATACCAAGTCGATGTGTTGTCAACTGTTATTCCCAACAATTTGACATTATTTTTTTCAACACTCACATCGAAGGTAGACGAAAAAATTAAATTTTTAGTTTTGTTGTCATTTAGTTTAAGTTTATTTGCTAAAAACCACGATTGAGCATTGGAATTTACATACTCAGATGTGGTTTCTAAAACTGAATGATTTTTAGCAGAAAAAACAAAAGTAGTGGTAGACAAGTCATTAACATATATTACAAATAAAAAAGGGACCAGAACTGCTGCTTGTGGAATTCCATGCCTTATCTGCTTAAATTTAGAGACTGTAACCGTACTTGACCGCTTGGTATCTATTCTTTAGATACGATGAAATTAGTTCCAAAATGCAGTTTTTTAGCAAAATGTCATGAGAAACATACTCGAAGGCATTTGAAAGAGCACACAGCCTTATGGCAGAGTGATTATGGTTCTCAAGGCCATCAACTATGGCACTCATCACATCTAAAAGTGCATGTGTTGTGGAACGATCCTTTCTAAACCCATATGGTGAATTAGTAAAAAATTTATTTGTTTCGAAGTACGATATAAGACGCTTCTTCAGAATTTTTTCGATTATTTTACTGAATATGGAGACGATGGAAATTTGGAGGATTTAAATGAAGTTGGGAATATCCCGATTGAAAAAATACTATTAATGAGATGTGTTAAAGTTTTAGTAATTACTTCACTAGTGCTTTTGATAAAAGATGCGTTTATCTCATTAGTATTCAAACAATTTGAATTTTTTAATGTTTTTATAACTGTGAATACTTCTTGTTGATTGGTTGGAAAGAGAAAAAAATAAATTCGATGCAATTGGAATTTTTTGATAGTTCAAAGTGAACAGCGATCTAAGTGATCTTAGTCCATCTACGTAGTTTTTTGTAATTATGTGAATGTCGTCAATTATTGGGAATGAATTCTTGAGATTTTTTTTATTTTAAAATCGCTGTATTTTCTTTAGCATCCGATTTTCTAATTTACATAAAATCAACTTTGAATTACATGTCCGGATCATCAGCAAAGTTTTATATAAAAAAAAAATGCTCTAAAGAACCAAAGTTTAGCTACTATCCGCTTCTTCGTTAATCATTAGCATTATTAAAATAACTCTTCCTTTTAATCTAAAGCTAATCTCCTCAAAAATAACATAGATCTGTGCATCTCTGGTTCTGTTTTCTGTTTAAACTAAAATCAAAATTAGGTTTATTTTGATACATCTGCGAGTTTATTATTAAAACGTGGCTTTGATTTTAGTCCAAACGTCGAATTTATTATCTTTTCCTAAATAACCAAGTCACGGATGTTAAAATATTGAGTTTTGAGCGCAGTTGGGAATGGCTTTTCGTTGGATTTGAGCTATTTCTGGACATCCGCAAGGTCGAAGGAACAAACATATTTTGTGGCACATGTCGAGATTTCTCTTTCTTCCGTGTTGTTTCTTTGTTGAAATATTTACTTAAATATTAGTGAGTTTTAACGCAAACAATTACATTGTTGTATTTTTAGAAGAAAATGGTATAATAATTATGCGTAGATGTTCAAAGCAAAACGGAATACATTTGCAAATAAAAAAATTACCTACTACGCATAACTTAGAGGAACAAAAATTACATGTGTAGGAACAAATAAAAAAAGTTTTATCTTAAATCTAGATCTGCTGAGTTAATTCTCGGCAACATAATCTTCGTATAAAAATAACAGATGCTTTGGTTGAAGGGAAATTTAAGAATCTCCCTATTTGAACTGCTTGGCAGCTTGGAGTTATCAGTTGGATGATTTTGACGTACAACTTGGTCAAAAGAGAAATAACAAACGTCTTGTTTCGTTGGAAATCCATAAATAGCCCCTGGGGATTGCTTGGTTTGGCGATGCCTCAAAAAAGCTCTGTAAATGTCATCGTTTTCATCAATGGTTTTTAACACTTTTCCAATGTAATACTTTAATCTTTCGTTTTTCCTAAAACTGGTTGAAAAGGCAATCAGTAGCCAATTTGATAGTTGAATAGATTCTTTCGAAACGGGATAAACCTGTTTATAAATTTCATTTTTGAAGGAAACACTAGGAACAGGAATACTTGTCTGTCCACTTTTTTGATTTTCAGCAATCTAGCTTAAACGAATATTCATATCCTCATCATCTGATACGATCTCCCCTTCACTTCTGTTACCGAACTCTTCATCTTCAGTCGATTCATTCTCTTCTATATTTTTGTCGTTATGCGCGTCTGAATCAAGCTGTTCGTCTTCACTTTCTTCCTCTCTAAAGTTTGCTCCAGTTCCACTTTTACCAGCTACTACGGCGACCTTCTTTCTCTTTCGTCGTTGTGTAGTAGTATCAGAATATCTCATGGATTTCAGCATATTAACCACAATATTGCTAACATGTTCTTCTACTTCTTGCACATTTGCAGTGTTGGCACTAGGGAGTCGGTTTAGGACTTAATCACGATCTAACGGGTAGATCCCACATTTTCTAAACCCAGACTTGATTGGGTCTGATGTTGTCCATCAGCTCTCTAACAAAATGAGGAGAGCGATCTTTGGGTATAGTAGTTGACCTTCTTCCTTCACTCATTTTCCACTTTTCAAGAATTTTTCGCCATACCCTCTTTTAGTAAAAGGCAAAACAAGTCACATCAAGGGGCTGACGGCAAAAAAATGAATGAAGTATCATGTTCTAAGCACTCGGTTACAGTTTTGGGACTAAAATGGCTTGAGAGGTTGTCGCCGATTAGAATTTTGACTCAAAGGTCATATTTTGGGCCTCATACACGATGTACGGAGGTAGCACCTTGCCCTCAGCAGTTGTCGCAAATATGACGGACGTGCAGCTTTTGGAAAAGTTGCACACTCGTTCAGGGTAACAGCATCCTCGTTTTGATTCGTTTCCTCCCGGGATCGTCAGATAAATTCGTCTCATCAAAGTTTACGATATTAGACAGCGGTATCCCTTCTAGTTCTGCACCCAGGTGATTAAAATACACATTTAAAGTCTCGGATGAAACCGCTGCTCGTGATCGTTTAATGTATTAACAAAGCCGTGTTCTTAGTCGTGTCTTATGTCGCTTCAAAAACCCATGTACTAAATCTTTTCCCGGTAAGTTTTTGTTAAACTTAGGTTCATTTTTACCCCAACTATCTACGTATGTTTTTACCATTACTCATAAGATCGTATTTATCTAAGGGATAACCCTAATCAGCACAGGTTAATAATTGTTTTAGTATAACTTCCTCTTCCAACTTTGTTAGTGTAGTTTGTCCTCCAGGTGTTTTTAAGTTAGGGTTTTTGTGGTGACTATAGAGCACTGAACATGTTAGGATGTTTCGAAAGAAAAATACTAAGGCGAATCTATGGAGCGGTATATGAAAATGATGTCTGTAGAAAACGATACAACTTCGAACTCTATAGAATATACCTGGAACCAGATATCGTAAAACAAATTAAGATAGGACGTCTGAAGTGGGTAGGCCATGTAATGCGGATGGAGCAAACCAACCCAGCTAGAAAAGCGCTCCTTGATAGACCTATTGGTCAAAGAAAAAGAGGAAGACCCAGAACAAGATTCCTAGATAACATAGACCAAGATATGAGAAATACGTGCTTGGCGGAGGAAGGCGATGGATAGGGACGACTGGAAAAAAATTCTTGGGGAGGCTAGGACCCACACAGGGTTGTAAAGCCAAAATGATGATGATGATAGAGCACTGAATAGTTAATTTCATGTATTTTGCTTGCCTCCCTATAGTACATTGCATTTCTTATGTCGTTTAAGGCCCTTTCAAGAGCCTCACGATTGGTTTTTTTGTAAAACTTGGACCTTGGATTATCTACATAGTCTCGTGGGTGGATTTCAGATTTCATCACAACAGTAGGTGAAAAGAAACGGCGGGTGATTAGAAATTGCGGGTCAATAGAAACATAATTGTGGTTAGGTTTTTACAAAACAACATTCAAATCAAATTACTGGTATGTTACGATAAATTTGCCAAGTATTATCTATTTATTTAATTGATTTTTTCTTACCTTGTTACAAAAAGTTAATCAGCTCTTTGAAACGTGGTAAAATCATCTGTTCAACTGAAATTTTTGTTGTCCAGTGTTGCCATCAGTTAAAATGCAAAATCCACTAAATTGGCGTTTTTCATTATTTGGTGAGTTTATGTACTTCAATAATTATTTCCCTGATTAAATTTAAACAAGTTATCTATTTGCTGGATGAGATATGTTAGTTGATCTACTTTTTAGACCCAAGATTAGGTTTATTTTTATTCTTGCAGGATGTTAGGAATCGTAATTCATGAATATATTGCTTGAAATCGATTTTCAATACCATTCTGTTTTGAGACTATTGTCATGTGTGCAATTGACAATCATATCTAGAAAAGGGAGACTGTTATTTTGTTCTCTTTCTGCAGTAAACTGTAATTGGCTACATTGGTTCACTGCAGACCATCGAGCAAAAAGACGAAAGAGAGAATGTAAAGGTAGTGGGGGCAAAAATATTGTTAGACAAGAAGTGCGATCTTTAGAGGCTACATTAAACAAGGAAAGAGAGTCTCTCTCTCCTTGTTTGACATCAAATTTAGTTGGGTCATGTTATTGTTTGTCCCAAATGTCACATGAAATCTTATTTATATTGAAGTTTTTTAACAATTGTGTCGCATTTTAGACTATTATCGTTAATAATTAATTAAAACTTTCTCGTCTAAGACACATTCTGAAAAATATTATATAGCTACTGTTAATAAGTGTCGGAAAATTTAAATTTGGCGCATTCGCATTTCCGGATATGTCCGCCATCAGAGGCCACTTTTTTGGTCTCCCTTTCATAAGGATTAGGTTCCCTCTTTTGTCTTTTTGCTCGATGCTGCAGACTATTCTTTACCTTGTGGATGTACCTGGTTAATGCGAATATTGAAGAATAAGTTTATACCTCGACACTGACTATTACCTTTTGGTGCACTCTTCAGTTTCTTTTGGAGGGATTCTTCAGAATGTAATTCGATAAGGTTCTCTCGAAAGTTATCCAACCCATTTCCGGAAATCTTAAAATATGTATGCTTTCTGTCAATTTTAAAGTCTTGGAATTCTGTCCATTAATTTAAAAAAAATCTTTTTTTCTTTTATATACCGCTTTCTATTTTCTTTTTATCATACTACCTTTCCGATCCCCTTTTCAATGCTGACCGGTGGCCGAATTTCTTCTTCTTCCTATTTATAAGCAATTCTGTTTGTTCATTTGCGGATTAATACCTCAATGGAAGGTCTCTATACCTCTTCTACCGATTGGTTCATTCATTTATAATCTGTACCTTACATTTTCTTCTGTGTTCACTTCTCCTACGATCTCTGAGCGTATTTCCTGTAATTCTTCTCAGTACTCTCGTCTCTGCTGCAGCCTTTGTGTTGAGGCTTTGCCGGGTCTTGTGTCTGAGGCATGTGTCATTATTGGTCTTAAACTGGCTTTATAAATTCTTGACTTCATCTCAGTGTTAATATGTGCTTCGCCATATAGTGTTAATAGTATATTTGCTTTTTGTACTTGATCTCTCACTTCTTTATCCAGGTCTCCATAGCTGGACAGTTTAATTTCAAGATATTTTATTTCCATTACTTGTTCAATACTGATGCCATCAATTTCTATTTTACATCTATTTGGTTCTTTGTTAATTACTATCGATTTAGTTTTCTGAGATGAGATTGTCATATTAAATTCTTTTACCGTTGTGTTGAATCTGTAAACTTCTCTTTGAAAGCTATCTTCATCTTGTGCTATCAATATGGCATCGTCTGCGTAACAGAGTATTTTTATTTCTTTGTTTCCCATTCTGTATCTCCTGTTCCTTTGTTAACGCTTTTGATGATTTGTGCCCGAATTTGTTAATGGAAAACCGGCAAATTGGAAGATCTAAAAAAATATTTTTGTCGACGTTAACTTGACAATTATTATTTAATAGGTTAACTGCACAAAACAAGGTGCACAAACAGGTTGAGGAATAAATAAAAAACACAAGCTTCTTGTTTTGGAATCTATTATGTATATCTATAAAGGACAATAAATAGTCGTATAAAACATACAGCTTACGAAAACGAAATGGTTCAGTCCACAACCTATAACTACAGATAGATTCTAAATGTCATTACACAGCAATACTGTTATAAAAAAATGTATACAACATACTACTCTTATACGAAATACTACTCTTTATTATAAACATGATCAACGGGGATACATTTTGATGTTACAGGTATTCGAGGATCGGTTATAATTATTTAGCTAAAGTTGCCTGAGTTCAAATTCTAAATGCTTCGTCAATATTTCCAGATAAAGATTTATATTTTGAATCGGAAAATGGAAAATATTAAATTTAAACTGACAGCTACGTCATCGAAATATGAAATAATGAAAACGTAAGAATATTATTATTAAGTCATATGTTCAAAGATACTTTAGTGTTAAAAACTTTGTCATACATCTATTTATAGCTAGATTAAATTTGCATTCAAATGTCATTTTCCATAGGAGTCTATTTTTTGCTGGAATCACTTCAGGATGGATAACTGCTATCATTGAATAGTTTACGCCCTCACATATCTAGTAGCTGATTTTTTGAATTTTTACCCCGCTTAAACGCACACTTTACGTCAGTCACATTACCAATGGCGGACCCGGACAAAATAGGTTGATTAAAATTAAAAATCAATTAAAATAAATCTACTGTACAAAATATAACCAAATGGAAATTAAAGAAAGAACTTTTTACTGTTCTTCGACTTAGGTAATTGAACTTGTTTGTTGCGCGTGATTCAAATGCCTTTTTATTTTACTTTCAATGCGCGCAAAATTTTTGACAAGCCTGACATTTAGCAAATTCTGGACGACACTGCATTTTTACAGTATTACAATGTAAAAATTAAGGTGTAAACTATTTAGTGACCGCAGCTGTACCTTGTATCAATAATTGCGATATGGGCCAGTCGTAAACCATGTGATTAATTTTCTTTTTGCACCCATATTTTCGTATTACTCGAGAGGTATTGCTTCTTACAAAAAAAAAATTATAGAAGCTAAAAGTTTCGTTTTTCAATGTTACATAATACAATGGTACCTTGATATACAAGCGCCCTAATATACAAGTATTTTGAGATACGAGCCACGGAGCGTACGATTTTTTGCTTTGAGATGAGAGCAAGATTTGAGATACGAGGAATCGGTTTTTATTCAAATTCATACCTCTTATTTGACTAGTTTTAATTTGCTTTGTAAATAAAAGGTAGATTTACTGGTAATAGATCTTTACGGCCTCGCCATAAAGATTATTTTAAGGGTCTGTACGTGACTATTACTTGGACCGACAAATTAAATGGTCATTGGAAGTTTAATCCGACCAAAATTCGGATTCTAATACTAACCATATTACACTCTCGATGTCGGTGTAATTTACAGTTTGTAAATTTTTACTATAAACCTCAGTCTGTCTGCTTTGCTTGTTTCCCTCATTTTCGAAGGACTGGCACCCGAAGTGTCAGTGGTAGATGAGATTGTTTCTCTTGGAAAATCCATGGTTCTGGAGGTGGATGAAAGACAGAAACATACGCTAAATTTTGTTAGGACCAGTTTAATAGTTTTTGCATAATAATTTTGCAATCCAGAGTTTTTGCAAATTCTATGTATTAAAAATCTTCAAAAAAAATAATAGAAAAAGGCTGAAAACTTTCAGATTTTTATTAGTTATTTCTTGTAGCGTGGTTGAAAGGATTAAGGACAGAGTAGATATCTCCGCTGATTATATCCTCAAAGTCAAATTAAATTCGTAAGGGTGATCTTGGTTTTGGTGCTATTACCTACGTAACGCAGTAACAACTTTGACGATCTTCAGCGCCCTCAAATTTTGGTTTTTCAGTCCTGTGTCCATTGAGACTTTTGTCGACACATCGAATACTACAACAAGGCAAATTTTGGGCAGATTTAACCGAGAGCACTTTTTCGTAAGGTTTGTGAGAGGTCCTTTTAGCAATTGATCATTTTTACCTTTACATTTTACATATTGAGTGATGCAACAGCTTTCAAATGAAGTATTATTTGCTATATTATCCCCTTCAAAATAATTTTACATCATAAAAACAATATACAGGTGCCCCAACTGAGAGAAATGGTTCAGAAAATAGTTGAGGGACGAACGCTAAACACGTCTTGTATATATTACTCATCAAGTAATAGATCAGCAAGCTAACAAGAAAACTTCTTTCTTTCAAGACTAATCATATGTTTCTTAAACACTGTAGTATAACATCCAAAAGTGGATATAAGACTTTGAATTGAAATTCGGAAATGAATCGAGTTGTCTGATGGATGAGTAGTACGATGAGAGGGAATACGGAATTATTTAAGTAAACGGAAATGGACATACACGTGTTTCTCAGTTTCGTCCACGTATATTAAACTGCTTGTTTTCCGCACGGTATAGCAACTAGAGGTAGTGGATTATCAAAATGGCTATGGCTTATGCATGCGTAAGGTACAAATATACGCTGCGACCGTACAAATTTTAAAAATTTTGGATAAGCGTTTAGAAACGGTCAACAAAAAGATATTTGATATGTACACTGAAAACGAATGGTACTACAACTTGAGATAATACTATGATTTAGAATTATTCTAGAAACAATACAGACATGGAACTATATAAAATGACATCCCGATGACTGACAGTAGTGACAGTGAATTTGAGTGGTGAAAAAGTAAATTGTAAACATTAATTTGATCATTTTGTAAATTTGAAGATGTTTAATAAATTTAAACTTCTATCTTGCGATTTATTTACCACACAAGGACTCTCCTTGAAACAGTTACAGGGTAAAATAATTACAATATGCTATAATAAAGGTAGTAATATTAAAACCAATAAACATAATCTTAAAACTTATCTAAATCATTGAGTATCTTTTCTAAATCATTTAGGTAAGCTGGTATTATTGAATTTTGAATAAATTGAACAATACAGCAAACAAAACAAGCAAAAATTAAAGGTCCGGATTATTCTATAAATATACTTCATCTGAACGTCAACATTCTTATGTCAAAAATATCTGTTAAAAAAATATTACCAGTTGTAACTCAGTGAAAATGTATCTCCATCGAACATGTACATCTTTTCTATATAATATTTCTTTTTTGCCTTTTTGTTTCTGGTTGCTCTATAGATCATGTGCTTGTGGGAATCTCCTCCATGGCCTCGATTTCGGCCTCTTCCCTGGCTTTGGCTTCCTCCCTTGCTTTCGCTTCCTCTTTGGCTTTCTGAGATGCCTCCTCCACCTTAGCCCTAAGCTCCTCTGCCTCGGCTTGAGCTCTCAGCTTCGACGCCTCTTCCATAGCCTTCTGAGCCGCCGCTTCTGCCTCGATCTCTTCAGGCCTCTTGTGCTTTCGAGGCCTGCCACGAGGTCGTTTAATCTTCTCTTTCGGCTCTCCCCCATCGGGGTTGTCATCGTGGTCTGACGTGCCGTCGATCTTTTCCCTCGCGCTTCTAAACACCTGGCGAAGAACGAGGCTGTCTTCGTAGATCATGGAATCTTCTTCGTTGTATTGTTGGGCATTTTGGCACAGCAAGACGAAATCTCTTTCCAAATCGTGCATCGTGAAATACTAAAATATTAAATAAAGTCAACATTATTTGTGAAACAAATTAAATTGTTAATAAAAACTAAAGTGATCTTAATTATAATTTATGAACAATTGGAAAATACCATACAACATTATCCTAGAAATTACGTAAAGGTCTTAATAGGAGATTTTAATGCAAAGATAGGTAAGGAGATAAAATACATGCCAACCATTGGAATTCATAGTTTACATAAAGAGTCAACAACAACAGAATTCGACTAATACACTTAGCCTCCTCAATGAACGTGGCGAATGCCAGCACATGTTTTAGGCACAAAGATATACAGAGTGGCCCAAAAGTCTGGAAACGGCCAATTTTCTCGTAAATAGCTAGTTATAATTGTACAAAATTTAGTCTACACCCTGTATATTTAGTCATTATTGGAATCTCCTATTCAATACGAGTTCAACCATATGTAACACTTATGATTTTATGTAGTCTGAAAGGTCTTAAATACATAAAACATAAGTCTGGCAACGCCTAATTGTTTCAATAAATTTTTTAATACTAATTATTTTCAACTACATTAAAACTTAACAATTGATACACTAGAACATTTTTTAACAATAGTTACGTTATTAAGTGTTCAAAATGTGCTTAATTTATGAGTTGACAATACCCTAATCGATGGTAGAATGCGTCTATCACATTTCTCCATGATGGTCTAGAAACAATTAAGAGATTCATCGATAATTCGTTGCCTTAGCTCTGCAAGACTTACTGGTTCTTCTTCTTAAGGTGCCTTCTCCATTACTGAAGGTTGGCTATAACTACAGCAAATTGCTCTCTATCTTGAGCTGTTCTTAGTATCGCATGTGTGTCCATGCCTGTCCAGTCTCTTATGTTCTTCAACCAGGAGCATTTTCTTCTTCCTGGACCTCTTCTTCCTTCCACTTACTGGTTACGTTTTGGAAACTGAATTTTTCAAGTATCCTAATAAAAATAATCTTTATGATTGAAATCGGGTGAACGTGAAGGCCATTCAATTTTACCTTGTCTATCTTGAAGGAAATTTAACGTCAGATAGTTGGTGTAAATGTTCGGCGTTATTTAAATGAGATATTTTCCGTACGATAAATTGGTAGACAAGGTAGAATTGAATGGCCTCCACGTTCACCCGATTTCAATCCTAAAGATTATTTTTATTAGGGATACTTGAAAAATTCAGTTTACAACATTTAACCAGCCAAGTCTTGCAGAGCAAAGGCAACGAATTATCGATTAATCTCAAATAATTTCTTGGCAATCATGGAGAAATGTGGTAGACGCATTCTACCATCGATTAGGGTACTGTCAACTCACAAATTGAGCATATTTTGAACACTTAATAACGTAACTATTGTTAAAAAATGGTCTAATCTATCAATTGTTTCGTTTTAATGTAGTTGAAAATAATTAGTATAAAAAAATTTATTGAAACAATTAGGCGTTGGCAGACTTGTATTTAAGACCTTCCAGACTATAAAAAATCATAAGTGTTACATATAGTTGAACTCGTATTGAATAGAAGATTCTAATAATGACTGAATATACAGGGTGATGCATTTGAAAAACCAAAGTTACTAATAATATCAGAGAAACGGCAAATCTGGCAACATTGCAAATATCAAATATGGAATATCCGTATCCCAAAATAGGTGTACCTCAAATTTTGTACAATTATAACTAGCAATTTACGAGATAATTGGCCGTTTCCAGACTTTTGGGCCACTCTGTATATACGGGAACATGGAGAAATCCAGATGGGAATACGGTAAACTAAATCGACCATGTTGTGGTTGACGCAAGACACTTCAGCGACGTGATAGACGTACGTGCAAGACACGGGGCGAACATAGACTCGGACCATTACCTACTACAAGCTAAACTAAGAGCTAGAATCCTCTGGAGCCTTACAGAAGATACCAGAAAACGACTAGAAGCATTTTAAACGTGGTGCTACCGACGTATGTTGAGGGTCTCATGTTTACACCACACAAGTAACATAACTGTTCTCCAGAGGCTAAGAAAAGACAAAGAAATTATTAACACTGTAAAGAACAGAAAATTGAGTTACTTGGGCCATATCCTGTGTAATAATAAATACCGACTTTTACAGTTGATTCTATAAGGCAAGATTGAGGGGAAAGAGAGGCCCTGGACATAGACGTACATCCTAGCTGGCCAATCTTAGAAAGTGGACTGGTCTAACGTCCACATATCTATTTCAAGCAGCTGTGAATAGAATAAGATGGGTCAATGTGGTCATCAACATCTCTAGAAGATAGGCACATTTAAAAGAAGACAAAGACTATATTTAGATTTGTCGGGACCTAACTGGACTATTTTGTATATACTATACTACGTTCCACGTTTAGAAAATAACATTGCGGAGATAGGGCCATGTATTTCTTATGGACGATAGCAACGCGGCGTTGCCACGACACTCACAAGCACAATTTAGGGTTGTATAATTTGTATTTTTGTTTCCACAAACATGAATTAAATTAATGTTTTTTAACGTAATTGACCAAAAGTGCCCATTCGAAACAAGAGATAAAAAGTAGGGAAAATGATTTTAATTAGATAAATAGTATTTACAAAAGATAATTTTTTTTTTATCTTATTTTAATTATAGTAACGACAGTTTATTTGTTTTTCGGTGAGAATACGATATGCCATGAATCATAGAAATCAGTAGAAAATATTGACCGCTTGGAATGCGTATATCTAATTACTAATTGCAACTTAAAATAATACGATGTGCGTATGTCAGCGATTTTATGTCGTTCTGTGACTACATAATGATAATAAGGCTTTTATTTAGTAGTTATTCTGACTTTACAGTTAAATGTTAATTGAGAATGAAAATTCAAAAATAAAGCAAAGGGAATATCTTGGACATCCGTGCAAAAGAGAGTGTCTGAGAGTTTTGGCAACACTGATCTCCATAAGCGTAATGTTATTTTCTTAACTTGAAACAAAGAATAGACTGTAGGTGAAACGTAAATAAAAACGTATTCTATAAAAACGCGTTTTTAAATTTTTCTCGGTAGAAAACGTTAAAATGCTTATTCTACCATCACGCTAGTCCGAATGTCCTAACAAGTTAGTTTTCAACATCATCGACCTAGAAGGATGTACGCCTCTGGTGACCCACAGAGCAACCTACCCACTGCACAACCTTTTTTAATTATATTGTTCTTTTTTACTCACTTTTCCTTCTTCTACGTTGGCAACGATCTTTTCAATATCAATAGGTTTCTTAATCGTATCGTAATATCCAGGTAACTCCTTCTTTGATGGAAGTTTCATAAATGGTTCGCTCAATACTCTACCATCCCTAAAACAAATAAATGACAAGATAAAATAAAAACTATTTAAGAGAAATTAACACGTTGACTACCGTAATACTAAAATAAAATGGGTCCTTTCGGCCAACTTTTTTTTAAGAGTAGTTTTAATATCCCAGAACACTGTTGAGCTGTTTTTTATTGTCTAAAAAAATTTTTACAGAATTTTTTTGTTTGGTACAGAAAAACGATAAATACCTGTCCTTGTAGTTAACAACGACTTCCATAAGCCTCTTCATCTTTTTCTTCAACTTGATCTCGAGTAGATGCACCTTTCTTCGTTTAATTTGGCTTGCCTCTTCGTCATCATCGCGCTTCTTCCTCTTCCTACCTCTTTTCTTTTTGACAACTTCTTTATCGCCTTCTTGTTCTTCCTCTATTTCGCCGCCCTCTTCGTCAATAGCCTAAAAATTAGGATAAAATGAATATCGAGACGTTTTTTTTAAATGATGATTTTACCTTAAGCCACTCTTTCTCCGTCAAGCTATCAACATAATCAACTTCTTTTCTTTGCCTGCTACCCCTTCCCAAAACAGCATCTGGGTCTTCAAGGCCCCAAGAGTAGATTTCATCGTCCTGCTTCAAAAGCCATTCGGGCAATTCGCTTTCTTGAATAAGTCGCGACTTTCCAGTCTTTTCGTCCGCTTCCTTTCTTTCCTGATCCATTTTCTGGAAAAGTTGAAACTCGTTTTCTCTCCGGGCCAACATCTGGTTCACTGTTTCGTCATCGGGAACTTCGTTTTCCTTTAAAAAGATTAACATGTAAACAAAAATGTCAAAAATCATTAATTTATATTTATATCACACCTCTTCTTCGTCGCTACCGTCATGGTGTAAAATACTCTGCAAAAACTGATGTCTCTCTGAGCCTGTCGACTTCTGATCGAACATACCAGCTTGGATTACTTTCTCGTCCATTATAAGTTTGTATTTAGCTGCAGCTAAGATCCTTTCTTCCACTGAATTCACTGTCATTAGACGTAGGACCCTGACTTCATTTTGCTGACCTATACGATGGGCACGATCTTGAGCTTGCAAATCCTGAAATTAAGAAAGATTTACTTTGAATCCATAGTGTTTACCTACTTTCAAAGAAAAATAAAATATATATCTTCTAGTATTTTTGACACTTAATAGTTTTCACCAAAAGAAAACATAAAATTTGAGATTTTTCATACACTTTCAACTAAGTGAACAAAACTTTCGCATTTTTATGAACACCTTTGCTGTTAAGTAAAATCAGATTATAAAAAAAGTAATACAATCTAATGAAATTAGTTCTTATACATACCTGGTGAGGATTCCAGTCAGAATCAAAGATGATAACAGTATCAGCAGTTTGCAAGTTTAGTCCAAGACCTCCGGCTCTTGTAGACAATAAAAACACAAAATATTCGCTTTGTTTATCGTTGAACTTCTTGAGTAGTTCTGCCCGATCCTCTGATTTTACCATACCATCCAGACGAAGATATTTGTAACCTCTCCAAATGAAGTAGTCTTCCATGATGTTCATCAACGTCGTCATTTGACAGAACAGTAGGACTCTGTGGTCAGTCGCCTTCAGTTTTGGCAATACTCGATCCAGAAGTTCAAATTTACCGGATGATCTAAGAATAAACAAATGATATGATACATGAAGACACTACAAAGAATTAATTCTGAACCATTCAGTAGATTAATTGTATAGGTTTTAAATTTATTAAACAACCAATTGCAGCACTACTAACATGATTTTTCCTTTCAAGCCATGTTATAAATGTATGATTACGTAACTAGAATTGTTACCTGTATATATCCGGCCCTGATGTGAGTCCCCCAGCCATGCCCATATAATCACAATACTTCTCTTCGATCATCTGGAACATGAAAGGATGATTACACAGCTTCCGCAGCTGCATGATGGTATTCATGATAGCTTTGACTCCACCTCGACCCCTATTACCCTTTTCGGACCCGTCGGTAAGCAGAACTCCTTTGCTCTGCATGTGTTGGTACAATACTTTTTGCAAACCGGACATCTCGCATTTGATAATGTATTCAACTTTGTCGGGAAGCTGAGACTCTACTTCCTTTTTGAGACGTCTTAAGAGGAAAGGTCGAAGGACTTTGTGAAGACGTCGGATGATAAGGATGGTTTCTTCTTCGTTAAGCTCGACCTAAAAATAAAGTACATTTTGCAATGTGCTACTCAAAATATGAAAAAAAAATTGAAAAACTTGTTCGGCAAATTCTTTAAACAAAATTTTTTTCTGAGACTTGAGTTTGTCAACATATGCGTCAAAAAGTGGCAACGATCATAACTGTATTAGACTTATATTACTCCTTAAACTACCATAGTAAATAAGCATTTAAATCAATATATAATTAATAAATTACCGCTTCGGTAGCAAAGTTGACAAAGCGTTATCCTACTAAATGTTCACTCAGTCAGTGAAGAATTCGAGTAACCCGAAGTAAAACAGTTTTCTTATTAAATAGTGAATAAATCCTATGTCCAAAATGGCGCAGTCGTTCGGATATAATAAGCTACACTTTGAACAAAAAAATGATGATGCGACATTACAGATAACAAGGCATTTAATCACTACATACTCTACACAAAATACAAAAGATATACGCAACTCTAAATAAGTGTTAGTGTAGAAAGGTTTTTATAATGTATCCATATCATCTATTTAAGGTAATTAGTTTTTTAATTAATTAAGGTAATTAGAACGTTAGTATCCTACCTTTTCTCCCGTGGTTGCGAAAGGGGCGTTGAACCACTGCTCGAAAGTGGAGCAACTCTTGAAAATCGACGGAAGTAAGAAGTTAAGCAATGCCCACAGTTCCGGTAGTTTGTTTTGTAGAGGAGTACCGGTTAACAGAAGGCGGAAAGGAGCTGCATAGTGAGTGTTCAACGTTTGGGTCAACTTACAATGGTGGTTCTTCATTCTGTGACCTTCGTCGACGATCATATACTTAAACGGTACCTAAAACGAGGTTGTTTTTAAAAACATAATAATTACAATAAATTTACAACTGAGGGGAACTTTACTTGATGTAAATCGCTTATTATACAGTGTAAACAATTTATATTGGGAACTCCATTGTAAAACGTTAGTTATTTGCTATATATAGTCATATATGTATATATAACAAGTGTTACATATATATAAAATTAAATCCTCAAAAATAGTTTTAGTGTTAATATTCTAAATATGCTTCAAATATTCAAACAAACAATTTGCATTATCTGCATATTTTAAACATTATTTGCAAGATTTTCTTTGCATTTCAACTGCTCTTTTTTCATTACAATATGAAGTATAGAAGAACTCGAAATCTTGGTCAAATGAATCAAATGGAAACTTTGAAACCTTATAAAAATATATTGACTGTATTAATTTACTATTTTTGAAGAGTTTCGATTTAAAATATGCAATAACTTACTTTTGAAAGAATTCCCTTATCTTTAATGATATATTCATAAGTAGTAAGAAGAACATTGAATTTTGCTGACTTCATCTGACCCTGAATCAATTTCCTGTGACCAGGTGAGCCCTTATAGGAAACTACCACAACAGAAGGAGCCCATTTTTCGAACTCCAACATCCAATTAGAAATAGTGCTAGAATTAAACAATTTTAGAGCTAAATTTACAGTGCGGTTATTAAAATTACTCACGATAATGGTACAATGATCAAAAATGGTCCATTCAACTTCTTTTTCTCCATCAAGTAGGTGATCAAGCCAATGGTTTGAATAGTCTTACCCAGACCCATCTCATCTGCTAGGATACCGTTAAGATTGTTGTTATACAATGATACCATCCATTCCAACCCTTTGACTTGGTACTCTTTCAATTCACCGTTAACCATAATGGAGGCTTGTTCCGTTACTGACTCGCTTACTGTATGTGCAATACCATAGTAGGTCTGTTCCTCTGTGGCATTCTTGTGATATTCGTCATCCTCAACCTGAAAAATTTGATATTTGATTGAGGTTAAGTTAAAGTAAACATTACAAAAATGTACTCTACAGAAAAATGTTGATTTTATTGTAACAAAAAAAAGTTGTAGATGCTGTGATTTCTAAGATTTTTAATAATTATTATAATTAAATCAATACTTTGCACATGTAGAAAAATCTCAGATTCCTGCGATACCTATTCCATGCCTGCCAGGAGCAAGTATTGAACACCCAAGCAAATTCAACACTTTGATATAAATCTCTAGAATGTTTTTGTATAGGTATTTAAATCATGCTTTTGTTATTAGAGTTGTTGGTCTGTAAATGGATTTTAGAGAAGTAATTGTCTAAATAAACAAAAATTGTAAAAATAGTAGATTGTTTTACCTTAGCTTTCTGAATGATTTCTGTAGCGTCGATTTGATTACTTTCTTCATAGTCGTCCATTCTATATTCGTCGTTTTCGTCCTCGTCTTCTGTATCTATCATCTCCCAACCAGGATGAGTCTGTAACCATTCAGGAAGTTCCTGGACAGTCGGAGCGTTTTCTCCGCTAACCTTATTCCCAGTAGCCATTTCGATAACTGTAACTTTCCTGTCGGGCTGCTGCATCTTGTCTTGCCTTCTCTTCCGTCGTTCTTCTTCTCGCTTCTTGTTACTTTGTTCAACTTTGTGCATTTTCACCATCTCCGTTAAATTACTGATATATTCATCTGTTTGGGAAAGCAAGAACGCTAGACGTTTGTCTTTCTTTTGATCGATCAACTGTCTATAACCTTCTTCGTCTTCCGCCATCAATCTAAACAAAAGTTCAATTACTGCCTGTAAGTTACCTAGAAAAATTTTTACTTACTTCTTCATACGTTCCTTTTCTCTTCTCTCCTGTTCCTTCTTTTGCTCTCTCTCGGCATTAGCGTGATACGTCAGAATAGCTTTATTAAGTTTAGAAAGTTTTGCTTGGTTCTGTCTGTGGAATTCTTTGAATTCTTTAGCGTGTGACAACACATTGTTCAAGAATTCTTGGTTCTTCTGGCGTTTCTTTCTCTCTGCTTCCAGTTTTTGTTGTTTTTCAAGTTTTTCCGTTGCCCTCGCTTCTCGAAGACCTTGACGTTTGGTTCGCTTAAATGCTTTTACATTTACTGCCGTTTCTAGCGTTGTGTCTCTTCGAATGCAGCTCAAAACCTATAAATATAGAAAAATGAGTTAATTTTAGATTAAATGTATATTTACTGTGACTCTTTGTAATGACAATTGAGCAATGGATGACTTTACATATTCAAAACGACCACATACTATACAAATATCTCAGCTATAGACATCAAAACAATTGCCTACTTAATAAAATACATACCTCACTACGAAGTTGTCTCTGGAGATTTAGACATCTCAAAGCTCTGAGTTCTATTTGTGCTCGAATGCGTAGTGTCTCAGACATATCAGTAGGCAGATTGCTAACTTGTTCGATCCTTGCTGCTATACGAGCTGCTACCCTGTTTTCGCGTTCTTGTAGTAGAACAACAGGGTCTATAGAAGATGGTTTAGATAGTGTAGTAACTCTTGGTTCTCTGTTGACAAGTTGAGCCTCAATTGGTTTTACCGGTTTTTGTGGTGTTCTAGGAGCTAAACAAATAACAAATAGTAATAAAGAAGAAGTCAAATTTAAATAAAAAAAAATTACATTAATTAAAAAGATGACATTCTTTATAGACAACACTGCTTTACAGGCGTATTTCTTTGTTTTCGATGATCCCGACATGCTAAACCATCACAAAATAGTAGCACGGTTCCCAAATTGTTTCAAGAACTTGGAAATAGAAACGTCAAAGTAAAGATATATTTAACCAATGATGGTTTATTTCCATTAAATATAGTAAATAATATAAAACTCTAATAAAATATTTCCTGCTCTCTGTGAACATTAACATAGAATGCAAATGTTGAGATACGCAGCACGATACAAAATTCTATAAAAGTATTTCCTGCAGTTTGTGAACATTAACACAGAGTGCAATGTTAGAAAAGTAGAATGCTATTATAAATATCTGGCTCAGGTAAAAGCAACAATGAAAAACAATGTGTTGTTTGAAAGGCAGAAACGATGCACACAAGTTTAAAATATTTGAGGCAGTACACTATGGGGAGCTTGGGCCAAACAGTCAAAGTCCAATTCTAATGTCAACAGTGTAGTGCTAAAAAGTAAAATATTAATTACAAATGTCGAGATCTGCAGCAACCTATAGTATCAATTCTACTAAAATATTTCCTGCAGTTTGTAGAAATTGTAGAAATAAGCTAAAGAGCTCTTACCTATAGCGGCAGCAGAACTTGTGGAAGGTCCTGGATCGCACCCATTAGCTACTTCTTGAGATTGTGGTGAAGGTACAATATGTGGACCCTTCTCAGGAGTTTTTCCATGCAAACCTAAGACTAAATTGTTTGGAACAGGTTGATTTCTTGCCAAACACCTAAATTAAATGAATATACAAAATAAATGTACAATTTACGAATGTGCATAACAGTATAACTTGAAGTTTATATGTTTATTTATATTTCACATAAAAAATATTTCAAGAAGTTTGTTCAGATTGTAAAATAAAATTTTAGATTTGATTAAATGATTTTCTCTTGTAACTAACTTATGATTACATACCTGTAAGCCATTATTTGGTTTCTTAGTTGTTTGATTTGGTTGTTTGAGAAGGGAGAACCATTTTCTTCTGTCCCAGGAATGCTAGCTCTTAATGCAAGTAACTGTGCATATCTAGGATCAGATTGCAAGCCCTTCTCTTCCATAGTTTCAATGGCCTTTTGTAGAGAAGCCAAATGGTTTGGATTTGATTGGTTATTGATGCCTTCTTTTACATCTAAAAAATTAGAATTAGTACAGTAGATTTTACACTGTTTTTTTTTTCAAATAAACATATTTCTAATATGTAACTATACTAAATTCACAATCAAGATGCACTAGAAATAAACAAACCATGACACTTAAATGTTATGAGGAAAACTCCCGAATTATGATTTACAATGTATAAACTTTGTAAATCATGATTTGGGAATTATACAATGTATATACATTGTAAATAATTATTTCAGAGTGCTCCTTGTAACATTTAACGTGTCTTAGTTTGTTTATTTCTACTGCATCTTGATTGTGAATTGAGTATAATAGTATATGCCTTGGACATACAATAAGTCTGTTATTCAATCAATACTAGCATGTTTTATGGGGAGAATATGTTTCAAATAAATCAGTTGTGAAGAAAAAATGGAACATGAATAAATTACACTACAATATATAAACCAGAGTTGAATACAAAAGCAGAGAAGGATTCAAAGGGATTGATTGGCAAAGTGATGAGAGAGGAAGTGTACCAAAAACAAATGTACAATTTTTAAACGAACTCTAAAAAATTACTAAAAAAAATGTAATATAAACTGAATATGAAGATATTTGGATGTAGAACATTTGTAAATACACCTATACCACCAAAGAAAAGTTGGATGTTAAGCCAAAGAAAATGATTATGATAGAATATACAAACATAGGATATACATTGATGTTGACAATAAAAGTATAACAGGAAATGATAGTGACAATCATATAATTCTGAAAGTGCAAGTGAACAAATGAAGGAAAATGTAATTTTAACAGAAGGATATAAAAAAAGTAAGACTACCCTATGAAATCAGAGTGGTTATGAATTATGTATTTTATCTGATGCTGTTTATTTTGTATAAATGATTCTAGACGCAATAAAAGAGCTAGAATTCTGAGATGATAGAAAATTGTGCACAAAGGTAGGGATTTTCAACTCAAAGTGGGTATTTGCAAGTAAACCATTAGAAGTAAAGAAAGAAGAAACTTTTTATCAGAGCTTTTGCACAAATGGGATATTTTGATTTGACTACAATTAGAATTAGTATTCTGGTTAATTAAATAGTATTGGCAATTGGAAATCAATATACAATTGCTCCTTAGGATAATTAGATGTAAACATCTTATTGTCGAATGGAGAACTTGGGAAAATGTATATGTTTATTTACCAGCTATAGTCAAATTTAAAATAAATTAAAGTTAGAAAGGTACTAGCAAAAGTACTTAAAAAAATACAATATTGTATCAATATGGATGGCATAGTATTGTGTAAGTTGTAAAATTATGCATGAAAATAGTGTAAAATAAAAAATTAATGACATGACCTAAATATAGGTTAAGAACTTGTAATGCAGGTGATTTATGAATTGATTTACATTAAATTCAAAGAAAATAAAACAATATTTAACAGTTTTACAAAAAATTCCTAACTGATCGAGAAAGATTGCAGCAGTAAAAAAAAGATCAAATATGAAGCAATAGATGATTTCTTCACAGCATTTGAGTTACAAAAAACATGAGCCATATTTCACAATGGAACCAAATAGTCCTACTTGTGTATTATGGGAGTCATATACCTCCTATTTTACTTTCACTATAAAAAGAATTATTTAATTTTACTTACCTTGAGGAGTATTTCCTGGCGCAACCGTCATCTCTTTAAATTTTGACTGAATGTTTTGTTGTGAGTTGTTAGGTAGGGCTTTGCCACCAATAGCAGTGAAAGTTTTGGGTAATAATGAAGCACTTGCCATTTTCAATGTTTAATTATCTCACACCTAAAATTTATTTCAAATAATTAATATTTATAAAAAGAAACAAACCTGAATTAGCAAACATTTGGTCTCTGTTTAAATACTATTCAATAAGCATCACTTGTTAAAATGTTCTATGTTCTATTGATTAGGATAACCTGGAATTATTAATTAAAATGTTGTATTAGCAAATTAATCCAAGAGTTCAACTAGCTGATAGCTAGAGATTTGTAGGAATGACTTTAAAATAAACTATTAAGTACACAACATAATTAATAAACCTGGAAAAGTAGAGGATACCATAATCAGAAAGTTTAGAGGAGAAGGGAAGTACCAAAAAACATAAAAATATACCTTATAAAAGCATGTAATGATTCATTAAATTAGGAAAAAGTGTGAGTAAGAAAGAAAGAACACAAAAATAGGATAGTCATAAAAAATACAGTGAAATGAATACCTTAAACCAGCATCTTGTACAGTAACAAGGCTTAAAATTAACACGAACAATAAGTACGGGCTCTTAACTTATTCATAACACTTCTATGGTTGTATTACAATGTTTGAGTAACAGCATATTTGAATTAATCTCATATTGCACAAATCACTAAACAAATCATACCCTTTATTGTAATCCCAGATTAAGTAGATGGATACGAGGAGACGTATCCTACATTTTATAATACATGAATTTGTTTTAAATGCAAATGAAACCTTTAAAATGCTTCTAGAAATTCGCCTCTTCCGTCGTATCAAAACACAACCTTAAACATATTGACAGATGACAGTTTAAAAGTTTAGAATCTGTCAAATATAATTCAATATGGTATCTGGAAATTATAATGTATTGGTATTTTTCTCAAAAATCCGTTTGACGTCATCAAAATTGACGTATCGTATTTCCAGTTTATTAGAATATTTAGGAAATTATAAAACAATTTTATTATCGAAAATGTAAAGTTGTAATAACTCAAGTCTTAGAGATGACAAAATAAGTTCTAATATTGAAGAATTTGAAATATTAAGTATGCCATTAAAAATTATAAGTATCATTAAAAATAAATCATTATAAATTGTTATCTCTATATTCTACTTGCACTTTTAATCAAGTGATAGATGTTTCAAAACAAGGCTTAAACGTATTAGAAGTGTTATCAATATTGTTAAACAAACATTTGACCATACAACATTAAGTGTCGTAAAATGTCTTGTCAGGCATTGTAGTTAAAATGGGGGAATGTAACCTTAATAATTTCTTCAGTACTTCAGTACAATACAGTTTGCGAATGATCTTGATCAAAATTACAGATTGAGCTTACTTAAAGGGAACGCAAATAAAACCGTGTGGACCGTTTGTTTCAAGTGTTTTGTGAAGGTCAACTTTTGTCCAACGTTACGCCTAAATATTTGGCTTGATTTGACCATTCGATTTGCGGATCGTATCCCTATTTAGTCCGCCTCTTCTTGTTTGGTGCATGACGACCTGTGTTTAATCAGGATTGACAGCTCTCTTCTTCTGCACATACCAATCTTGTACTTCGTTAAGTGCCCTTTTCGATCATTACTACGTGAGCTTCCTTCTATCTGCCAGGAAAATGTCTTAATCTCAGAATGTGGTTGTTTAGTTTGTTATATATACTATTGCTCTTGCTGTCAGATTCTTCAGAGCTCTATTCGTAATATGGTCCGGTCCTGGAGCTTTTTTGGCATTAGTACGATTGATCAACTGTCTGGCCTCTTCAGGGGAGGTGTGGGTAATATCTATGTTGCCTCTTATTCTTTTTATTGCCCTGTATCTTCTTTCTACTTCTTCTGTGAAGTCGAGATCTTATCTTAGATACCTACATCCTCTTTCTAGCGTATTTTTCATAACATCCGCTTTGTCTTCTTCTGTGTACACAATTCCATTTTCTCAGTATAAGGGTGGAATTGATTTTTTATCATTTCTTAGTATTTTAGATAGGTTCTAAAACGCAGATTTATTTGGGTTTAGTTGCTGGATATAGTTACATCTCTGTTATAGAACTTGCAAACTGAAAAGTGCTTCCCTCTGCTCTGAATCCAAATTGAACTTCATCGGATATGCTCAAGTGAAACATAGTAAGAAGTACTTTTAACTACATGGCTCAGCAAAGTAATTAATCTGTGTTCTTAACATTTTATAGCGTCGGCTTTTTTGAGAAGTGGAATATATATTGATAGTAGCCAGTCTTTTGGTATGTGACCAGTGTCAAAAATGTTCGTGAATAGCTTCGTAAGAGCTGTCGAGCTTTGTACCTCTAATAGAATAGCTTTAAAATTTCACTATGCACTTCATTAGGTCCTGGTGACTTTGCATCTGCTTTACACTAAACACTTTCTGAATTATTTTGAAAATTCAGAAAAAAATTAAATAAAATAAATGAATCTTGTTTTTATTGTTCGATTTAAATTCTCTCATTTAAAAAAGATATGAGATATATTTTTATCATGTATTGCATGTCTATAAGATCATACAAACAGCTAATATGAAAAAAAGCGTAATTAATAACTAACTTATAGATATATTTTTAGACAACCATATTTAAACATATAAAAGTATAGTGTATCACCCCACTTTCCCACTTGTAACTTTAATCTCAGATATTAGAAGGCTTCTGACCTCATATATGGAGCGGAACATTATCATATAAACAGCAAAATATATATTATCGTCTCTTTTCTTTATACATCGAAACAAATGTTTCCCAAATCGTATTTAGATAATCTAATAAATCCATCCTATTGGTCTCGTTCTTCTTGTGGCGAAGAAAGATTAGTAAAACATGTTGAATTTATCGAAAAACGTAAGTAAATCAAAATATAAAAATATATTGTAATTGTATTATCTATCTATTTTAATATGAGGTATATAATTTCAAGTATGTTATTTAGATTACAGTAAAATAAATGTTTGATTATATACTTGAGATATATAATCATGAATATTTGGTTAGGGAATTAGGATATTTTTGGTATTAAAATTAGCTCCATATTTTCATGGGACGTCTGACACTTGTTCATGTTGTGTCCATTTTGTTTCGTGTTCTTTTATTAGTTTAAAAGTCGTTCAAGAGGCTCTCAAGAAAGATATTGTGCCATTTTACCACGACTTTTTGTTCTAGGACCTCTTCTACCGTTACATAAATCGCATTTCTTCTACATCTTAGCGACAATTGATCCTGTAAAATATGTCTCGAAGTCTGGAAAGTGTTCTTTTGACTGTACATTGTCTTCCAGAAAGGCTGCAATAAAGTTCTTGCTATACACTTTTAATGTCTGATTTTGACAGTACAACTTCTTAAACTGTACTTACGTACTCCATCGGAACTTTTCCTTTAGTAGTACGCCTTTATAATTACACTGTAAGTGATTATTTCCTGCCAAATAGGTCTTACTCCATTTTTAAGCCATTCTCCTATGACTTTTAAGTCATTGCCATTCTTTTGATTCTCATTCTCTTTTCTCAAGTCTTTTATAGTACTAGCATTGCCTAGAAAGAATATCGACATTTTTATAAAGACCTCTTTTCGATGTATTATGTCGAATTTATACTGATGGAGTCTCTCTCTATCCACTGAGCAACTTGTCCTTTTGGTTTATTAAAATTTATTTATTAGCCACTGCAAAAGTTCTACGACCAGTTGTGGGAGATCGATTTCTTAGATACCTATATCTACTAGTATTTCTAGAAGGACTATGTGACAGACTTCTGATTGTCGATCTAGGCGACCTTCTGACCTCATTCTTTGGTTCTTTTTTCCTTGCTTGGGACCTTTAAAATAAACTCAACTGCGTTTCTCTGTAAAAAAGTAAACTTTTATACTAAATATTAATTATTAACAAATACATTACCTGTAAAAAAGAAACAACATTTAAAGCTTATATTCTAATTTTACAAATTACAGGCAAAAGTAATAATGGCCAGACAATTGACAATGGTAAAATTAATGAATTGTCACTGTTAAAATACCTCACAACTATGTCTAACATGAAAACAAAAGGAAGAACTTAATGTTTTGACAGTGGCGTAACAAAATGAGCATATAAATAGAAATATTATTAAAGGAAAACAAAACAATAGTTTTTCTTTACGTATATATATATATATATATATATATATATATATATATATATATATATTTAAATAAAAAAGCCTAGATGTTTAAATTTATAATTTTGTGTATATGTACCCATTAGGCTACTTTGTTTTTATGGATTTTACTTTAATACTTATATTCATTCTGTAATGGCCGCCGGCTTTGCAGAGCAACGGGGCTCCACGGAGCAGACTTTGAGTAACGCTCTAACGGATTCGTTATTTATTTACTTTTTTCCGTTTCAGATAGCAAAATTGTTCTTAAAAATACTCCTCATGAATTGAACGTTCCGTATGGAACCGAATCACGGGAAATTTTAAATATAGTTGGAACTGATTTACCAGACGGTAAGTTTAGAAAAAAATTACATCTTCATTTGCTAGATAGTATAAAGCTCCAAACATAAGATTTGGCAGACTCGCATTCTTCTTCTTCAAGTCCCATAATCGTTAAGAACAAAATAGGGGAAAAGTTGAAAAGGCTGACAGCTTGAAAAGAAGTCAATAAACAAAGCAAAGCTGTTATTCTTGTAATTAATTTATGTGTTTAGGACATATAAGCGAGTATGTGTGAAATGCTCAGAAAATGGCTTTTATATGGTACTAGAAATACAGTTTGGTTATTATTAATAAATAACTTGATGTTTATTTAATAAAATCTTTAATATGCTGTTAGCACAAAGTGTGCTAAGGGATATTCAAATCTCTAAGAAAGAAGATCCATAAGAAAAAATAGAAGTAAAACATTCAACATGTGTAAATACTTGCCCTGTTTCAGGTTCTCCCATTTTTATTCATCTTCATGGTGGATATTGGCAAAAACAAGTAGTAAGGAGTGAGAATGGCATTTTTATCGCAAAAAATTTATACTCCAAAGGCATAAAATGTATTTTCGTAGGCTATGAACTCTGCCCAAAGGTGACTCTGGACAAATTATGTTTAAACGTCGAAATTGCTTTAAAAAAGTGTTTGGAATATGCAAAAAAGCACGCAACTATAAATAGGTAAAATATATTTGAAATAAGATAAAGGTGATGTCTCTCTTATTTTTTTGTTTTAATAAAATTTTGTCTTATTTGTGTTTTAAATGGGATGAAAAATGTTTCATTAATATTTAAATCCTGTACTCAATTTGGGTAGTACTAAATGGCGCATGTTTTAATCTACTTGTAAATTCCATTATTGTATGTATCGATATTATCATTTCATGCAGGTTTATTCAGCGCCTCATATTCTTCAGAAGATCAGATGATTGAATGGCTAGTGTAGAAGCATATAAATCCTCTGTCTATCCACCTCTCAGGATAGATTATTTAAATGATTGAGAATAGGAACAGTGTGGTGACCGTCGTGTAAAAACCACATTAGTTGTCAAATATTAAGCGATACATTTTGCAGTAGTATTGACAATACCTACGGAAACAGGACCACCTATACTAGTGGCAGAAATAAGAGCAGCCATAATATCACTAAAAGAAGGTAGAGCTCCAGGACCAGACGGAGTACAATCTGAATTTCTCAAACTTCTTGATGATGATTCTTTAAGAGTACTATGTAAAATCTTCAATAATATCTATGACACAGGCAATATCCCAAAAGATTGGCTACTTTCAGAATTTATTACCTTACCAAAGAAACAGGGAGCAAAAAAGTGCGGAGAATATAGGCTAATAAGTCTAATGAGCCATACATTAAAACTTTTCTTAAAATTATACACCGTAGAATATACAAGCTATGCGAAAAGAGAATACAAGACACACAGTTTGGATTCATGAAAGGCGTAGGTACAAGAGATGCACTGTTTAGTCTACAAGTATTATTTCAAAGATGCAGAGATATGACTTGCGATATTTACACCTGCTTTGTGGACTACCAAAAAGCATTTGATACAGTTCAACACCAAAAAATGATGGATATTCTAACAAAAGCCCAAATGGATGATAAAGATCGGCGTATAATACAAAATTTATACTGGAACCAATCAGCCACAATAAGAACGAATTTTGGAGGTGAACCAACGGAAATGATCCAGATTCTACGAGGCGTTAGACAAGGTTGTACACTTTCACCTATATTATTTAATCTATATTCAGAGGAAATATTTAGTGAAGCCTTGGAAAAATGCGAACATGGAATACTTCTAAATGGAGAACGCCTAAACAACATCCGTTATGCAGACGACACCGTTATTTTTGCAGACACTTTGAACAGTTTACAGCAACTAATAAACAAAGTAAATGAAGTAAGTGAAAGATTTGGACTTCAAGTAAATATAACAAAAACTAAATTTATGATCATCAGCAAAAATAAAGTTAGAGACGCTCAACTACTTATCAATAATACACCAGTGGACCGAGTAAAACAGTATAACTATCTTGGAACAACAGTAAATGAACAATGGGATCACTCACAGGAAATAAAATGTAGAATAGAGAAGGCTAGGAGTGCATTCAATAACATGGCCAAACTCTTTAAAAGCCACAATCTTAATCTGGAGATAAAAGTAAGGCTCCTACGATGTTATATCTTCTCAATATTGTATTATGGAGTTGAATCCTGGACACTAACTGAAGCAATGGAGAAAAAACTTGAAGCCTTCGAGATGTGGCTATACAGGCGAATTCTAAGGATATCATGGACAGACAAGATAACCAACGAGACCGTATTACGAAAAGTGGGCAAAGAAAGAGAGGTGATGTATACCATTAAAAGGAGAAAGTTGGAATATCTCGGACATATAATGAGAAACAGCACTAAATACAGATTACTGAAGGTAATCCTACAGGGTAAAGTATTCGGAAAGCGAGGAATTGGAAGAAGGAGAATATCATGGTTGAAGAACCTGAGGAAATGGTTCTCCACAACAACAACGAATCTATTTAAAGCATCAGTCAATAAAATAATTATAGCCAGAATGATTGCCAATATTCGGAACGAATAGGCACTGAAAGAAGAAGATTGACAAATTATTATTTAGACAATCCAATTATGGAAAAGTGTGGGAACCCGGGGTGAAATGGAATACCGGGGCAGAATAGGATATCGACGTGATATTACCTACAAACGACATAAACACGCGAATATCACACAAAACGTTTAGTTCGTCACGTCGAGTCGTTTGAAGTAGTCGTTGTCAGTCTGGGAGTATGCATGGTTATCGGAGATCAAAGAAGAAACCTGTAAATTCTAATTTTTTCGTTATGTCGCTAAGATAATTATACTGTTTACTATTATTTTTTCGAAAGTAACCTTACATGTTTGTTTCACTGTACTTTTAGCTCTCTAATACTGTAGTAATGATTCGCGTCCAATAAACATAACCTATTATAACACTAATGTTTCTGGAAACGGTTGTCTGGGGCACAATGGGTGGGTATACTCCATTCCGCTCTCGATTATATTTAGTATTGATAAATATTTTTCTTCTCGTATTTCCTCGTTTAAAATTCTCGTATTGATTATATTTTTTATTGGTCGCAGATGGTACGTAACTACAAAAAGAAAACCACTCGGCAGTCGTGGTCTACTGAGGTTATGAAGCAAGCTGTAGATGCGATTATCAGTGGACACATGGGATATGTGGCTGCATCTAATTGGTTTGGTGTCCCATCGTCAACGCTGGAGCGATATGTTCAGAAAAGACTGGAAAATCTAGACGTTGTCATTGATAAAACGTCAGAAAAGTATAAAACTGTGTTCCCTATTGAGCAAGAGCTTGAACTTGTCATTTATCTGAAAGATATGCAAAAACAACTGTTCGGCATGACTATGAAAGAGTTTCGCCAACATCAGAAAGGAATAACTGCAAGCATAACTTCAACAGAACATTGGAAATGGCAGGAGAAGACAGGTGTAAAGGTTTTTTCAAACGTCACCCTGATTTAATCTTCTGGACAAGCACGAATTAGATACCACTAGAATTTTCAACTGTGATGAAAGGGCATTAGCGTGATTTCCAAGGAGTTTTCGAAAATAATAGCTGTTAAAGGACAACGTCAAGTAGGTGTCTTAAGTTCTGCTGAAAGGGGCACCACTATTACAGCCGAAATATGTTGCTCAGCTACCGGATGTTACATACCCTCAATGTTAATATTTCCGCGAAAAAAGAAACAACGTGAATTTGAAACAGGTTTCCCACCAGGAGGCTGGGCTGAAGTACCCGACTCTAGTTGGATAACTGCAAAGATTTTCGTAAAATGGCTACAACAGTTCTTTCTGTTTTCTAAAGCGACGAAAGAACACCCAGTTCTGTTACTTCTTGACAGGTATACGTTACACACAAAGAACTTGGCCGCAATAGATCTAGCACGTGACAATGGTGTGTTAATAGGGTGCTTCCCTCCTTATTGCTCTTACAAAATTCAACCATAGGACGTTGCATTCATGAAGTCCTTAAGCTTGCATTATGAGGATGAAATAAGAAAGTGGCTCCACGGAGAGTAGTTCAGCTTTTCGACAAATCAACACGACAAAAATCTGGTATCTGGCCATCGAATATGAATAAATTCACCGATGATGACTTTCTACCATCAGCAACAACAGATATTCCCTTGAAAAATCCTGTTGGCAGTATAATCCAGGAAACATAGCCGGCTATGCCAAAGACAACGGACTCAACGCCAACTATACCAGTACAGAAGCATTTCTCCTCACCCATGTTCATTCCACACCCGTAGTTGATAATCCTGTCAAAAATAATCCATCCGTACCGACAATTGACGAAAATCTTCCCCCACCAGTGAATGTCCCTAAACCCGAATGTTCTTGGATGCCCGATTCCCCTGTTCGTACTAATGCCGACACATATTTTTCAGTTACGTCGCCAAAAGACCTAATTCAGTTGCCAAAAGTTAAAGCCGAACAAAGCTGTAAAAAAGCGTGGAAAGACTGCTGTCCTTACCGTCTCACCTTAAAGGTTGAACTGAAAAAATATTTAAAAAAGATGCAAGCTATAAAGGAAGCTAAAGAGAAAAAAAAATAAACAGATTAATGTTTAAAAATGATGAAAACAAACCCAGAGAAATTGAAACTTTACGAAAAAGGAAAGAAAATAAGAACAAACAGGTTAAAACTAAGGCAAAGAAACAAAAAATATCTGAAACTGAATCCGAAGATAGCGCAGAAGAAGAAGATACGGCCTGCTTGTATTGCCATGATTACTACTTTAAGTTCAATGAAGTGAAGATGTTATGTACAAGTACAACGTATGCTGCACCAATTTAATATAACCACCAGAAAATTTAACATATCCCCAAAAAAGACAAAATTCATGGTTACAACAGCCAATTTACTAAGATGTAAATTGGAGCTGGAAGGTCAGATAATAGAACAAGTGATGGAGTTTAAATATCTAGGCATCAAATTATCTATCTACGGAAAGCTCGAAGCCAAAGTGGAAGATCAAGTGAATAGAGCCAACAGAGCCACAGGATGCCTGAATAAAACAATATAAAGAAATAAAAATATCGGGAAAGGAATGTTTCCGATAGAATGCTAATGTTAGAAACATCAGAGATGAAAACACTTAGAAAAATTGAAGGCAGAACGCTATGGGACAGAATTAGTACAAATATACCACGTAGATGCAAGGTGCACAACATCAAGAACTGGGTAAGAATTAGAGGAGTAGAATGGAACGATCATATAAGCCGAAAGACAACAAATAGAGTAGTAAAGACGGCAAGAGATTGTTCCCCAATAGGAAGACCACGAAAACGATGGACCGACAACTTACTGGAGGCACATTGAAAAACCGACATGTCATGTCTGAGTCATGTTTACATAAAAAGAACAAGAAGAAGAACATATAAAGCGGGTATGTGTGAAATACTCGGAAAATGACTTTTATAATAATATGATACTAGAAATATCCAAAGTATGGTTATTATTATTGAATAACTTGATATGTATTTAATAAAATCTTCAACATGCTGTTAGCACAAACTTGTTGTATATATCTGAAACAATTCACGCTTTTGCAAATGTTGCTAAGGAACATTCAAATTTCCTATTAAAAAATTCGTAAGAAAAAATAGAATGAATTCGGTCCTAAACATTCAACTTAAATAGTTGCCTTTTTCAGGTTCTCCCATTTTTATTCATGTTCATGGTGGATATTGGCAGGAACAATCAGTAAGGAGTGACAATGGCATTTTTATCGCAAATAATTTATACTCCAACGGCATAAAATGTATTTTCGTAGGCTATGAACTCTGCCCAAAGGTTACTCTGGAGAAATTATGTTTAAACGTCGAAATTGCTTTGATAAAGTGTTTGGAATATGCAAAAAAGCACGCAACTAGGTAAAATATATTTGTAATAAGATAAAGGTGATGCCACTCTTATTTTTTTGTTTCAATAGAATTCTGTCTTATTTGTATTTTAAATGGGATGAAAAATGCTTCTTAAATCCTGTACTTAATCTGGTTAGTACTAAATAATTGTAGTCAAAACTGATTTCTAATCTACTTGTAAATTCCATTATTGTATGTATCGATATTATCATTCCATGCATCACTTGATCATTATGATCAAGTGATTGAATAGCTGATGTAGAAGAATATATCTATTAATACAGAGTATGAAATAATAATTGCAAAATGTAATAAACCATTACAAAAAAAAAACCTTTTTAACCTTTCTAAACTGGTCACATTGTGTTGCTCTTGCCCTCATTTCAACTGGATGAGTTACATCCAATAGAATTTATATAGGCTATTATTAAAAACAATATGTCATGCAAAGGTCAAATATATAAACTAGTGATTTTGCCAAAGTTTTAGTCTACAGCTACTTGAATCAATACCGGTTGATCAGGCAGGTTTCTGACCAAAAAGAAGCTGCGCAGATGAGATTCTTTCACTAACCACAATTATTGTGGCAGGATTCCAGAGAAAACTTATTATTATATTAAATCTTACCTTAAAAGTACAGTAACCAACATTATTAATTATATTAATACATAAGTACTTAATATTTTTAATATTATTAACTAAATATATCGTTTCAAGAACAAAATGAAATTCTGTCAAATTAATGTTGTTAGTTCAGATTTCTTTCCAAGATGACGTAGATTGAGAGAATTTAAAAAGTAGTAAAACTAGAATTTACTAAGGTTATAAAATATTTTCTCGTAACCTGGTTTTTTCTGAATATTTTGTTCATGTGAAGAAACATTTCCGTGTGAATCACGATTTTCTATGTATGGGAATCAAGATTTAAATCACAGCTAATTAAAAAAAACATTTGTAGGTTATATCAGTTTTCAAAAAAAAAAACAAAAAACATCATTTTTATTACAATTTTTTTGGTTGATTTCCATGAACAAAATAATTAGTGGTTTATTTAAAAATCTCATCTGTTATTTTAGAAGCTTAAATACTAACAGAAGATTTATTGTTTTAGTGGAATTTACCTTTCTGGTCATTCAGCAGGAGCTCAATTAATTACCATGCTGTTCAAGTCTTTTATTCCAAGTCTTTCAAGGAAAGACCAAGCTTTATTCAAGACAGCGTTTCTTATAACTGGAGTATACGATGTACCTGCAGTGTTACAAACAAACCTCAATGACTTACTTCATTTGGATCAACAAGCTGCTGAAAATGCTAGTCCCTTACATCAAGACTTAAAAAACACTGGTTGCCACATGGTAGTAGTGACGGCAAAATTTGATAGCCCTAAATTAATCCAACAAGGAGAGGACATGTATAAATACTTTAAGGAAAAAGGTTTTTCTGCAGAGTTTATATTTTTGGAGGATCTAGACCATTTTGATGCTATAGAACGTTTATATAATAAGGAAAGTGAGTTGATTAAAAATATCGTTAAATGCTGTACGACGAAGTAGGAACAATTGCTTATACAGGGTGGCCAAACGAAAATAAAATGAAGCTGTTGTCAGACAATTCGATAACATTTTATAAAAACCCAACTAGTAGGTAGGGGAGAGTGGTCCACAGTGAGACGGTTTTTAGTCATTGGAGATTTTTTCACAACTTTTTCTATTTATATTGAAAACAAACAAATAATCCTGTAAATTGGTCTTTATTTTACAAAAATACACAACAGAAATATATTTGAACTTGAAAACATAAGTCGTAAAAAAAATTCTTTTTGACGTTGCAAAGTGTCTCACTGTGTCCCATGGTGGTCCATACTGAGACATCGTTCATTGAACATGTAGTGCGCCAAAATTCATTTCGAACTGAACACAATTATTTTGCCTCTTTGTTTTTCCATTATAACACTGGTACAGGTAAAATCATCACTATATCTTGCGATACAACACTAGCAACTTCAGGAACATTTGGATAAAAGAACCTGTTCAATTTATTTTTTCTTCTCAGATAATTGATCTCATATTCGAAATCATCGGAAAGATTAGTCAAAATTTTGCTAACAAAATATTTTACTGACTTTTTGCTTGCGAACTTTACAAAAACATAGTCATCAATGACTGCATTTCTATCCAGTTTTTCGAATCCTGTTATTGGAGCATCAAGGTCGGCATCATATTCAGATGAACTATTCAGGGATTCTGCTTCGTCACTTGAAGAACTATTTTCGACTTCGATAAAACGTTTTTTTACTGTCTTAGCTCTAGCTTTGCGTTTTTCGGCGTTCTTTGTCTGAAGTTCAATTTTTTTGGAGTATCTGTTGGAATGAAACTTCTTCCGCGTTTTCTGTTCTGCACTCGTTTTCTTGGAGCAGCTTTGGGGTAGCCTCGAAACTCTTGAGGGCTTGAAAACGATTTTGTTGTTATGACGGTTATTTCAGAATCTTGGTCAATAGTAAGTGTTGTTATCACAGTATCAAGATTCGAAGTAGAATCCCCATGTTTGTCATTTGTGCAGGAATCTGAAACTGGAGATTCGACAGTACCATTTGAAGATGTTGACTGTTCAGGCCGGTCTGTGACGGAACTAGGAAGAAAATTTTCTTCTGCAAAAACATCCCGATCATGGGAAAATACCCGATTTACGGAATCCTGATGTTATATTAATCGGAGTCATTGAATGCTGAAATGCACTCGTAATACATTCTGGTATATCGTATATCGTCATTGGAAGCCCCGGGGTGATGTATGAGCCAAGAGTCGACAGCTCTGTTATAGTGTGCCTTAAATGAAAAATAAACGCCAACATCTAATGGTTGTAGTTTATTACTGCAATGGGGAGAATACACTAATTCCATGTTCTTTGTTTGTTTGCATCTTACCCATTTATATATTTACTAATGACATAAATAAATAATATATGTCTTCTTCCTTCTTGCATGTAGGCTTTAAAGGCCCGTTTCTTCTTCAATATTAGCCTCCTAAATTGTTTAAATAATCGCAACATTTTTTCTTCTTCTTCTTCTTCATGTACCATGTCCTTTCAGAACGTTGGTTACCATCATAGCTATTTTAATTTTATTCACTGCCACCCTAAATAGCATGCTTGTATCTACACCATACCAATCTTGCAAGTTATTCAACCATGAGGTTCTTCTTCGTCCTGGACTGCGTTTGCCTGCTATTTTTCCTTGCATGATATTTTGTAGCAATCTATATTTGGGACCTCTCATTACATGTCCGAAATATTCCAGCTTTCTCTGCTTGATGCTTTTTACGATCTCAGTAGTCTTGCTGAGACGTTCTAGTAATGTGGAGTTACGATTCTTCTCTACCCAGGAAACTTTTAAAATTCTTCTATAGCACGACATTTCGAAAGCCTCAAGGCGATTTAGATCGATTTTATTCACAGTCCAGGACTCGACAGCATAAAGTAAGACCGAGAATACGTAGCAGCGAAGTAGGCGGATCCTTAATGCCAATTTTAGGTCTCTGTTACATAACACCTTGGACATCCTTCTAAAAGCAGCTCTAGCCTGCTCTATTCTGGATCTAATTTCGCCGTGATTTTCTGCATTACAATTTAATTGCTGTCCAAGGTAGACGATTTTATCAACTTGCTCAAGTTTGGTATTATTTACATATATAGACGGTTTTATATTCTGTTGTTTACTTATTACGAGTATTTTGGTTTTCCTTATGTTAAGATCCAGACCTGCCTCCCTACAACTCTCAACGACACTATCAAGTAGTGTTTGCAGATCTTCTTGACTAGAAGCTAGGAGTACTGTATCATCCGCATATCGCAAATTATTGATGACTTCGCCGTTCACAAGTATTCCTTCTTGTTTTTTAGAAAGTGCTTTTCTGAAAATTCTTTCGGAATAAACGTTAAAAAGCAGGGGTGACAAGAGGCATCCCTACCGTACTCCTCTTTTAATATTGAGAGCTTGTGATTCCACACCATCTACTAAAACTGATGTTGTTTGATTCCAATATAAATTTGCAATTATTCGAACATCTCTGCCGTCCAAGCCAATGTCTTTTAGAACTTCGATCAATATAGAGTGCTTAACACGATCAAATGCCTTTTGAAAGTCAATAAAACAACAGTATATGTCTACAGATATATCACGATATCTTTGAGCAAGTACGTTCATTCCAAACAGTGCCTCTCTCGTTCCAAATCCGTTACGGAAACCAAACTGAGTATCATCCAGGTATTCCTCACATTTATTGTAGATACGACCATGTATATATATATATATATATATATATATATATATATATATATATATATATATATATATATATATATATATATCCGGTTTTTTTAGGCGTTACGCCTGTCCGGTAGGGATCTATGGAGGAGTATCACCAAGCCGCAAGCCCTTATCTCTTGCCGTACTGCTCCACCATAGGCCGATCAGATCCCAGCCTATCCTAGTCTAAGCCGCAGATTCATCTAGAATTTTAAACTGCTGCGTTAGACTTTTTTGTTTTCTGTACACCGAGCTTGGGCTCGATCCCACATCCACTAAACCATTTGACAGTAAAGCGAATGAGAGGCAGCCGCACAGCCCGCTGAGCTATCTGACCGACCATGTATTACCTTCAGAAAAATTTTCAATAAGTGGTTTAACAAACTGATGGTTCTATAATCAGCACAGGTTTTTGCTGTTGTCTTCTTAGGTAGAGCTATAAACAGTGAGTTAGACCAACCATTAGGTAGTTGTCCGCTGGTATAAATGGTATTGAAAAACGAAGTTATAGCCTCTAAAACATTGCTATCCTTTATAAGCTTATATATTTGAAATTTCATCAGGACCAGTCGCTCTGCCATCTTTTGATGATTGTATGGCCTTTATAACCTCACAGCGTGTTATTAGAGGTCCGTCGCAGTTAGTAATATCGGGAGGTGAACTACTCCTATCGTCTTCGAATAGGTTCGTGACGTAATTTTCCCATTCTTTAAGTTTGTCCTCTACTTCGAATATTACTTTACCACTTTCATCCTGTAGCAATGCATTTTGTTTCTTATTGAAGATACCAGCCGCTCCTTTTACTTTTTTATACATGTTAAACGTGTCGTATCTTTTTTCGAGTTCTTCAATGTCATGACACTGTTTGGCTAGATGTTGACTCTTTGCTTCTCGTATTTTACGTCGAATTTCTTTTTGTATGCTATTGTAAAGTGTTTCGTTGGTTTTTGCTAGTCGCCGTTGTTCCATCAAATCCAGTATATCATCTGTCATCCAAGCCTGCTTTTTTGGCTTTTTTTTCTTGGTCTGTCAATACTTCTTCATCCATTTGCTGATTTATCTCGTGCTATTCGTACTATTCTATCAACTGCCATTCTACTGATGTGTTTGCTTCACTCCTGTTTTCATTTTGTCACCCATCTATTTATGTCTTCTATATTGCATGCTCTTCTTATGTTTTCGCTTCTCTCCCTATCTAACAGACTTTTCCCTGATATTCGTCGGAGTATTTTCATCTTTGTTTTTTCTAGTAGTCGTACGTTTTAGATGTGGCAGGTCTTGTCTCTGCCGTGTATGTTAATATAGGTCTAATTGCTGCTTTATCCTCCTCCTCAGACCTAATCCCTTTTGAGATGTGGTGGGACCATCAAGCCTTTACAGTTTTTTAACGATTCAACTGCAAACATTAAATGCGCTTTTTTTATCAGTTTTAATATTTGTTCAACTTTGTAAATAAATAGACATCTCCAAATAATTTAAATTTTAAAATGCATTTTTTAAGTTTTATGCGTAATTTTTATATTTAAAAACTAATTTAAAGATCATTTCAAGGAATTAAAAATATATATAGGTATATATATATATATATATATATATATATATATATATATATATATATATATAATATATATATATATAATATATATATATATATATATATATAAAGTAGTTAGGTATTATTGACTGACACGTTATGTAAAATAAAGTTTTATTTTGAGGATGTAGTCATTTAAGTAGGGCAGGATAAGTAAAACTCTTTATTCTTAAATCAAGCTTTCGCAAAATTTATTTGCTTCATCAGGATATGCTAAAATATGTTATGGTAAATACAATGAAATTAGAATTAAGAAAAACATTGTATAAAACTATATAAAAACTTACAACATGAGGTTAAACCATTAAATTATTATTTTTACGTAAGCATAATAACAATCTAGAGCTAATTATCAATAATAAAAACAGACACGAGTGTCTTTCTGACATTTATCAAACATCATTATTAATCAATGTCATAATATATTTAAAATTAAAATATTGTACTTGCATAAAAATATAATTTAGGAAAAATTAATAATGTTTTGTGAATTTAATAATTTAATGGTTTAACCTCATGTTGTAAGTTTTTATATAGTTTTATACAATGTTTTTCTTAATTCTAATTTCATTGTATTTACCATAACATATTTTAGCATATCCTGATGAAGCAAATAAATTTTGCGAAAGCTTGATTTAAGAACAAAGAGTTTTACT